TAATAAAATACACTCTGCTTAAAAAGTGAATGATTAAAACGACAAAAATTCAACTGTGAATCTGATTATATGAACTATTAACATCTCACTTGATCAAGCAGTTGAAACTAGACTTCCTCATGAAAGGGTTAATAAGCAGCAACAATATTTAAAAACCTGCCCCAACGGCCTGTAAAGATCTATCATTTCCCATGTCCTTCTGTTGACCCTTTTAAATGGTGTCATGTCCTTCTTGTGCAGGAGGGGCCCTTTGGTTTCCTGTGAAGAACAAAGAATGCTTCATGTTCCTCAAGCTGAAGGAATGCTTCACTATGCTCTGGAATACTATGGCACTATGCTCTCAGACTGACTCGGAGCTTCCTGTCAATAGATCTTCATATTGCTCCCCTACCCTGTGGTTCTCTTATTAATTGGTCTGATTCAGCAGGCACCAGTGCATCCAGAGCTGCCAGTCAGTGACAGCAACTCAATGCCCTCAGAAGGTTTACATCACAAGGATGCCTGACAAAATGAGCTTTCAGCAAACGAGTTTTTCAAACAACATAATCCACTGCGTGAAGCAAAACATTCAGATGTACTCCTTACTTTGTTCTCCACAAACATAGGTTAGGGCATGTTAGCATACTGAAGCAAGAGAACATATGCTATGTCCGTTAAAAGTGTTCGTTTGCAAATTAAGACAAAATACTTTGGTCTTTTAGAAGACCTTATTATGCAGGTTCTTCTATGACATAATTGTATTTTGAAGTTATGCTGCAGATTCATATGTAGAGGTCAATATTCATGATTAGCCATGAAGAGCCAACCAAGAATAAGCACATAAAACCCAACCAAAAGCCAGCTGACCTCGAGGAAATCTGTGTGAACATTCTGTGGTTAAAGAAAACAGCACCTGAAACAACTAATCTTAAACCACCAAGGAAGCTGATGCAAAGGCAAAAGGAAGGTTTGATGCCTGCTGATATCAACAGCCACTTGAGGGTAACAAATGTTCTTAAAGTCCAAACTTCCCTGTTTACAAAACTGCATCCTGTTCTCTATTTATTTTACTTATATAGGACAAACGGACATAGAAAAGGATGGATAGATGATATTTTGTTAAATCTGTGAGACAATATGCATGCTGCTGGACTGCCCTGCAGTTTGTAATACTAAAGTCTAGAAATAAGCTTAAATACAGATGTATGTCCAAAAACATTTGCTAAGGCAGCCAACAGATGCTCATACATGAATAACATATGTATGGTGACTGAGAATAATGTATAATGTAAAGCGACACTGGGATTCTGAAAGGAGCTATATAAATGAAACAAGGCCAGACTTTGTCGTTTTCTTGTTGTGACTGTACTGGGGGTTATAAAACAATGGTTGAATGAAATAATGTATTAATGAAACTGAAAATAATTAGTAGTTAGGCAGTACAAATAGCCTGTGTGGAACATGGGTGTCGTATCTCTCTTCCCATCAGCGTCAAACCGCTAAACGATATGCTAATACCATGAAAATAGCCTGTACAGGGCGGTACTATAATCTGGATAAAAGGGTCAGGTTCTTAAATGCAGGAGAACATTTTACCATTAATAAAACCATAATGCTGTACAGTAAAAGTGAAACAGCCCTATATCTGGGGAAATTCTGTGGGTTTAATTCTTTTCTTTTACTTCCTCAGAATGCCTACTTTTTCTGCTAAGCAAGCAACAGGGAAATTTCAGTAATTCAGACCTGATGTCATCCATCATAGTGTCTTTTTGCATAAATGCCATTCAGAATGAGTGTACAAAGACACACATCAGTGAAAGGATAAAAGAAATCTAACCTTTATGTGCCGAAAAATGTTGAAAGATTGATGAAAAACAATACAAGCAGCACAGTCAAGTATTGGTTGTGTTTGACCTGCTCTGATGAGACCCAAGCAGAGCATTTGTTCAAAGATTAAGACAGCCACACAACAGTGCCCAACCAACACACGTTTGTTTTCAATTCTCCAATTGCCGTTACTTCTATATTAAGAAGGTGAAAACAAATTTGAGCGTACTGTATATTATTCTGTTTTAAGAATGACCAAACAGCATTCTTCAGTAAAAAACAGCTCAATATTAACAGTTTATGTGCATTCCATCAGAATTAATGAATTTAAGTCTCAATTAAACCACATTACAAAAAGCTTATTTTTTCCCAACTCCAGGTGTGAGCCACACAAAGACTAGTAGCAGGCCATAAGATTTGCCTGTACCCAGCCAGGCAGACGACATCAGACATAGGACTGCATGAGGCACACATGGCCACAAATGACACAAATGACAAGACCACGAGAATGTACGCAGACAGCCAGCTGGGTGGACAAACAGAAATGTACAAAGACTTGTGCCTAGGCTTGGAGCTACTCACTGATGCAGCGCAAACTCTGTTTGTATAAGCCCCAGATGAAGTCTCCGCAAAGGTCACACCATGTAGGCTGGGTGTGGGTGCAGGGCTGGAAGTCATGACCCTCTCCACTCGCGTTGGTGAGATCTGGGTCCGTGCTGTCTCCCAGCAACCGGATGATGCGGACCCGGTTGAACAGTTCTGGAACTTTCCCGGGACTGAGACGCACAGCATTGACTCGCTCCAGGCGGGATGTACGGGATTCATGTGGGTCCGTCAGCTCAATCCGGTCGTTCAAAGTCAGTTCTTTGAGCTCAATTAACTCGTCCCGAGACATCCTACCAGAGGTACTCAGATGAGTGAGGGGAGTGCAGTACTGGTATGGACCTCACTATAAAGGGTCAAAAATGGAGGGGGGCATGATTTGGTAATTCAACTATACTATAACTGTCAACACTTAAAAACAAAATTCTCCATCTTGAATTTCTGACCACAGTCATTAAAAGACCAGTCAATACATCACTGGTTCACCTCAAGAAAAAAATCTGCAGAAGCTCCAATCACAGCAGGGACTCCAAAAATGTTATCAGTGGTCTGAAACACATCTGGAAACTTTGACAAAAAGAAAACTTCTATGTTTTTGCCTTCCCTCTAAGTCTGTTCCATTAAATACATTTTGCTGGAACGTTTAAAAAATCTTCATGTATCACGGATGAGGGCTTCCAGTGACACGTGGAAAGAAGCCGCCAGCTCTCCACCCGGCAGCTGACAGACCATTAGGACAAGCGCAATGAACATAAGATTGACAGCTTCAGTATTCAGTAGTCTAGGGGAGCTTCGCTTGGCACATCAGGACACCAATCTCCTCTTTAAAGACGTCTGGATACAACTGCAAAAAACAACGACAATGATGAAGGATGGAGACGTGTGCGGTCGCTTGCTTAGGAAATGATGTGAGACAAATACAACAGTTTAATGCTCCAAGAAAAAAATACAGGTATCATTACACCCGTTTTTCTATAGAATATTGGGAGATTAAATCATTTTGTTTAATTTTAAGATCATATGTCTCAAAGTCAGTACGTTTTTATGAAATAATAATATTTCATAAATTAACAAATTATATATACTTTGCTTACAACATACAGAACTGAACGAAATCAGTATTTAACGTCATTAATGTAAAACACAGTTTCTCAACCTAAGAAACACATATGCGGGGAAAGTACGCACCTTGGAAAAAGTAAATGTAGGTCACAGAACATGAAGTCGTGGCCTCCCGAAAAGCTGCCATCTGTGCGGCTCCGTGAGAGTCTGAAAAGCTGATGGGTGTGAAGGGCTCCGGTGCTTCTGACGGACTCGCTGATGGCTGCGGAGCCGCTGTAGCCCTTTCGCTCGCCGCCGCAAATGCCGACGTTACGATGGCAGATCCATCAGCCAGATCCGCTTTGCACGGCGGAGCACAATGCAGCTTCTGAAATCTTGGTCTGGCCCTACGCAGCTCGCTTCTCAAATGTAGCTTAAATCGCACTTCGACAGTTTCTTAAATAGTCACGTTGAAAGTTTAGTCGCTCTGAAGGCTCAGGATTTTTTTTTTTGCTGTCTAGTGGTGCGGACTGACTTTCAGGAAAACTCTGGCATGTTGCTGGATGCAAACGGGATTTTCACTGTCGTCCTGTAAACCGAATATTTACGAAAACAACTATTCGATTAGGGTAATAGTGTATTATAGCAGCATATTTCGTCCTTGCCCGCAGTGGTCTTGTTGCGCCTTTTAGTTAAAAGTCCGGCGGAGCTCAAAACCAGCAGCGCTGTCCCCTGATGCGTTTGCTGAAGTTTCCACAGGCTTGGTTAAGGAGGTGTGCAACCCAGATAAACATCCATTGACAGAACGGAAAAAGGCTGGTTTAATTGCGTAGATGAGCGAATCGGCATGCTGTGTTTCGGTAGCTCAAATACAAAAGCGGAGCTTAGCGTGATACTCGTCTTGAAAGATGATGATTATTATATAATTTTTTTGCAGTGAAGATCCTCCTTAAACACTGAGGCAAGTTTCTTTAGATATGTTTGGGGGTGGGCAAGATTGGGACGAAAGAGAAATCGGTTAACTGTTATACGACTGAGACTGTAAGTCTTGGTCTGATTTCAAAGGTCGACGTCATTGGTTTTAATTTCCTGTCATGTTAGCTAAGATTAAATAAATATATAAATAAACAAAAACCAGATGGAACTGTCTTTGTTTTTACAAAGGACAATGCATAGTCTTCTGACATGTGCTGGTGAAAACGTCAAACTGAAATGTTTGCTCACATTTTTTTTCATTAAATGCAGCGACGATTTGTTGTTTTTCATTGAAATAATGGAAAAATCTTTTCTACTGATGACAGAACCTCAGATTCTCAGTAATGATTTTACTAATACCTATCGAAGTTCAGAAACAAGGAGATCTGGGTTCTGGTATGTGAGCCAACTGTTCTTAAAAATAACCGAATGACCAGATTAACAAGTAATCAGCAGGAAACACTGCAATGTATAGAAATGGTCATATTTAAGATTTCCTTATTTTATTCCTTTTGTAAACTTTAACCTGGTGTAACATCTCCAAGACCCTGTATCCCAAGAAACATTTTGACTAATTATTGAATGCACACCAACATCTTTATTACCTGGAAATGTAAGATAACCAAAAAAAGTTAAATCATGCTCTGAAACATATTCATATTACAGCTGAGTCACTAGCCTGAGTTAGGGCCCATGTAGAGACGCTTCTAGCCCTTGTGATATTAATAAATCATTCAACAATCCAAAACGCTATTAATGGCTTCATTTTGTGGTCAAAGACCTCTAATCAGTACATAGTTTTATGATATCTGGATAGAAAGGGCTCTGACTTTCTGATGATTCTTGACTGTACCTTTTTTTAACAGTCTAAATCTTCACAATTTATGTCTTTATATTTAAGGTCTTCTGTAGTTTTTCAGTAGCTTCAGCCATCAGCTGACAAGCCGTCCTGTGCTTCGGCCAATGTTTCACCTGGCATTCCCTGCAGGTAGGGCAAAGGCGTGGGCTCAGACTCATTTCCATACTGTGCACAATGCTGGTCAAACATCAAGCATCTTACTAGTACGTGTGGTTGTTCAGTATCTTTTTCTCTTTGCTCATATTATCTGTATTAGTGCCCTCTGCTGTTCATAGCCAATGTACGACTGTGCTCAGTATGTGTGAGGACTTCACAAGCTTTACCAACCAGCTGAGTATAAACAGTCACAGTCATGGAGTATTCACCTGTTTGGTTGAAACAAAATCTTGGTCTGGAATTTTACTCTCTGGACCTGGACTACCCACCTCTCTTCATAGTAAAATATACATAGAGTATATATCAGAACCATTATAAATAATTTACATATACAGTTGTGGCCAAAAGTTTTGAGAATGACACAAATATTCATTTTCACAAAGTCTGCTGCCTCAGTTTTTATGATGGCAATTTGCATATACTCCAGAATGTTATGAAGAGTGATCAGATGAATTGCAATTAATTGCAAAGTCCCTCTTTGCCATGAAAATGAACTTAATCCCAAAAAAATCAATTTTTACTGCATTTCATCCATGCCACAAAAGGACCTGCTGACATCATTTCAGTGATTCTCTCGGTAACACAGGTGAGAGTGTTGATGAGGACAAGGCTGGAGATGTCACACTGTCATGCTGATTGAGTTATAATAGTAGACTGGATGCTTTAAAAGGAGGGTGGTGCTTCAAATCATTGTTCTGTTAACCATGGGTACATGTGCAGTCATCATTGCTTTGCACAAAAACTGCTTCATAGGCAAGGGTATTGCTGCTAGTAAGATTGCACTTAAATCAACCATTTATCGGATCATCAAGAACTTCAAGGAGAGAGATCCAATTGTTGCAAAGGTTTCAGGGCGCCAAAGAAAGTAGGGTGACCAGATAATCCATGTCAGGGAGGACACTCTGAGCTAGGACAGGAATTGTAAATTACCATTTCAATTAAAAGGACCTGGATTTCACTTTGAAAGTGAGCCTTTCAATTTGAAAGTAGTTTGTAAAACCCGAAGTAGCTCAAAGTGTCCTCCCTGACATGGATTATCTGGTCACCCTAAAAGAAAGTCCAGCAAGCACTAGGACCATCTACTAAAGTTGATTCAGCTGCGAGATCGGGGCACCACCAGTGCAGAGCTTGCTCAGGAATTGCAGCAGGCAGGTGAATGCATCTGCACGCATAGACTTTTGGAGGATGGCCTGGTGTCTAGAAGGGTAGCAAAGGAAGCCACTTCGCTCCAAGAAAAACATCAGGGACAGACTGATATTCTGCAAAAGGTATAGGGATCAGTCCCATTTTATGCCAACAGTAAAGCATCCTGAGACCATTCATGTGTGGGGTTGCTTCACAGCCAAGGGACTGGGCTCACTCACAATTCTGCCTAAGAACACAGCCATGAGTAACGAATGGTACCAAAACATCCTCCGAGAGCAACTTCTCCCAACCATCCAAGAACAGTTTGGTGATGAACAATGCCTTTTCCAGCATGATGGAGCAGCAAAAGTGATAACTAAGTGGTTCAGGGAACAAAACATCAACATTTTGGGTCCATGGCCAGGAAACTCCCCAGACTTTAATCCCATCGAGAACTTGTGGTTAATCCTCAAGAGGTGGATGGACAAACAAAAACCCACAAATTCTGACAAACTCCAACCATTAATTATGGAAGAATGGGCTGCCATCAGTCAGGATTTGGCCCAGAAGTTGATTGACAGCAGCCAGGGTGAATTGCAAAGGTCTTGAAACAGAAGGGCCAATGCTGCAAATATTGACTCTTTGCATAAACTTAATGAAATTGTCAATAAAAGCCATTGACATTTATGAAATGCTTGTAATTATATTTCAGTATACCATAGAAACATCTGACAGGAAAATCTACAAACACTGAAGCACTTTGTGAAAACCAATACTTGTGTCATTCTCAAAACTTTTGTCCATGATTGTAGATGTGATTTTATAAGAGGCCACGGTACATATTCCATAATGTTTGAGTTCTCCATAGTTTTTGTGCTCTGCCTTCTGCCCTTCGCCCCCAGCTACAGGAGCAGTTGTTGGACCCACAGCAGCAGTAGAGCTGCCCCCCCCCCACCCCCCCAGTAATCACCTGCGGCAGTACCATTCACTCTGACAGCGCGAGCAGCGCTTCACTGCCTCCACACCGCAGAACCCACACTTGGGTTTCTCGGGAATGAGTCTCTCAATCACGTCCAGATTGTATGTCTGGGCAAGCCTGATGGGTAAAATATAAAGAGAAAAAGAGTGTATTATTTTTAAAATATTTGGTACTAAAATCAAGAATTAACAGTAATTGGCCATAGTGTTCAAAAAACCTGCGTACTTATTAAAATGCTTTTACAGAATACTATCCATCATCTGTACATCAACAGTCCTCATATGTGTTAGTGTGAAGTGTCTCTGCACTGCACTGCTACCATTTAGCTGAATTACTTCAACTGATTTCCCTGTGTATTTGTCATATTAGTATGTACACTCTTGGAAAAAAATGGCCGACACGACATTAAGCTTTGGCCCCTTTTTTCCCCAGAAGTGTATGTCATGGCTGTCTGTACATAGAGGTTCCTCTTTTGTCCTACCTGTGTGCCTCATTAATAGAGCTGGTGGGTGTTTTTCCGTTACTGCAGTTTCAGTGTCAGTCTCACCTGTGCGCCTGCCGTCTGAGATCATCCTCAGAGGGGGCAAAAGCTTGTTTCACCTGAACCTTTGCAATGGCTTTCCACTTGCCTGCATTCTTATTCATGATGTTGCTCCACATTTCTGGAATCTGAAAGGCAAAACATTAAAGAAATTTCAACACTGAAAGACACATCAAAATTTATGAATTGCATTTATGAGGGATCAATGACAATATTATGATTTTTGCCTGCTTACCTGCTCCAGAATAAGGCCCTTTTGGGGGGGAGCGGGGTCTACCACTGCGAGGTGACTGAGGAATCGCTGGAGTTCACTCAGACTGGGCAACTGGTCGATTAAGACCTCCGTCAGGAAACCTCTCAGCTGCAACAGGCAAATCAATTTTTAAAAAATCTGGGATCAACTCTCAAAATGATGTATAAGCCATAGAGAGATACACTCAAACTGATGGTTTAAAGAACCAAAGATCTATGGCTTAACTGATCTGACCAGTAATGAAATTACTAAAACACACATGTATCATGTATATCACATTTTCTGCAATACAGCAGAATGCATTATTGTAAGAAGAAGAAAAACACACAAAATAACTGCTATTAATCACACAGACATCTGGATACCATATTATAATTCAACTTTGTTCTAGCAAGATTTACTAACCAACAATCACTTGGAATATGTATAAATTCTAATAAAGCCACCTTATTCACATAGATTATTTTTAAACCTGCTTTCAGGTTTTAATTCCTACTGAACTGTACATTATAATCTACCTTAAATTGCACATCTATCTGTTTTGCATAACCCCTTAGCCAGAACAGAGTCGCAGTGAGCCTGAGACAGATTCCAGACATTAAAGATTCCACGGCCTGAGTCTCTGCTATAGCTCAGTCTGTATGGAGTGTGCATGTTCTCCCTGTGTCATTGTGGATTTTCTTCTACGTACTCTAGTCCCCCCCCCACCACAGTCAAATAACATGCTGAGTTAATTGGAATGTTAATTGGAGTTACCAAATTGCCCATAGGTGTGCATATGTGAGTGAATGGCGTGTGAGTGAGCCCTGAGATGGGTTTGCACCCCATCCTGGATTGTTTCTTGTATTTCACCCATAGCTTCCAGAATAGGCTCCGGGCCCCTGGAACCCTGAATAGGCCAAGCGGTTACAGAATATGGATGGATGGACATTCACACACTATTCAGGGGCACCAATTTACCAAATTTCAAGTTTCCTTTGGACTGTTTGAGAAATACAGAGTATCCAGAATAAACCCATGTGATTTTCATATGAACTGAGCATCTGTACCCGTAACAGCTGGCTCTTGTTGAAGCTGTTGAAATCATATTTCCTCTGGCATTCCAGCCTCAGCAGCAGGTTACACAATGCAATCCACACCTGACCATCCAGCTTGGTCATCTTTAGCTGGTCCTCTCTGGGAATCGGGCACCATCTCCCATCAATATACTTTTCCATTTGGCCTGCTAAGTTTAGAATTATTGCAACTTGAGAGAAATTACTTTGTCAATGTAGATTTTTGTGCAACAGTTTCCATAAATTTTGAGGAAGCATACTGGCTGAATGTACAGTGAAATTAGAATATGACAATGAGTGTGCATTGTTCCCATTGAATCAAAACGGTAGTAAATACAGGAACTGTGTAAAAATACTGTATCAGAGTGATTTGAAGTGTGACCACAGAGCAAGCGAACCTTTGTTGATATGGCTCCAGGGGCAGCACTCTACAAGCCGGACCAGGACGCAGGGCAGGTTGTGCGTGCTCAGAAGCCTATGCAGAGCACTAAGGTTCACACTGCAGAAGACAGGGAGCAGGAGGGTAAACATCATTATCATCAGTGTTACCACAGTGTAATCTCTGACATCTCAGATCATGTTTCCAAAAGCAAAAAAGCCGGATCAATTATATACCATATAATCATCGCTATGGTAAGCCGAAAGCCCATAACAGGAAGCAAAAGGAAGCTATACTGGTTTTGAGATGTTTGGTTGGATAAATTGCAATATAAAGGAAGGGGTTAAAAGCAACATCTTTGATAAGAACTACCTGTCAACATGATCAGTAATGTATCGAAGGACAGACAGTGCCTTCAGGGAAATCTCAAACTCTATTGCCACATTCTGATTCTGCAGATCCTAGAAAAACAAATATGCAGAAGGTTAGATCATATCAATACAAATAAAATGGCTAAGAAAAATATACCTACCTTACTTATTATTATAACGATAGATGTTATTAGCCTCCATACTACCAGGTGTCCTTAAAGACACAGCTAAAGCAGGCAACACTCCCACCTTTCTTGGGTTCACACCTGCACAGACGAGTGGCATGCATCCCCTGTATAAGTGACTCTATCTGGGACTGTGCCTCCGTCACTGGCGTTCCTTCCAGCCAGGAGAATCAGTTTCCGGTGGCAGTAGTCAATCAGGTCCAGTATTGAGTCCTCTGCTGCTTCACAGGGTTCCTGGGTTGCATGTGATAGATAACACAGTCACTGCAAGGTTCGTGCACATTCCTCACTGTATTCAAGGGGCTCATTACCAAGTGTACCAAATATTACAAAAAATGTTATAGCAGAATATGCAGGAAAACAATGCACTCTTTTTCTGAATGAAACTGAAAGCTGTGAGTACAAACCTGGTGAAACATGATTGTTTCCAGCAAGTTGATGATAGAAGCTTCATGGTGAATCTGGTAGCATAATACACTGTGGGTTACTGTCTTATATGAAATGGTATATTCTTATCTACACATATACACTGTGATGAAACATAAAATATTAATAGTCTCATGTAAAGGAATAATCTAAAACTGACTCACCACCATGTACAAAGGAAAAGTGCTTTTTGGGTTGAAGTCGTGCAGCTGACATAATATAGGAAACACTTTTTGTTTCCAAATCTCTATCGAGATCATTCCGTGGATCAACGTGGGAATCTACGGGAAAATACCCTACTGTAAAACTGCGACAAAAATCATCGGTGTTCACGTATATGTAACCATTAGTGCATTTCTCCTAAATTTATCAAGGGATTAATTCATTAGCCCATGATTACAGATTGGACAAAGTATTCTATGTGAGTAGGCCTACGTAAGTGGCGCGTTTCACCTTTCCAAACGATACGAGTTGCTCTTTCACAAACTCGTCCTGCATGGCCGTGGCGTTCAGGATCGCCTGCATGTTCAGTTTCTCGATGTATTCATGCTGCATAAACCACCTGTTGTTGCATATATCAGATGTTTCTCAATACTTCAAACCTACCCGAAGTTTAAAATAACGCAAATATCTTCTTATATTGTTATTATTGCGCACCATCTACTTTCAATATGCCTTAAAAATGTCAAATTCTAATTTAGCGTATATAATTATTTATACTATAAATATTTATAACTATTGATCATACTAGCTAGCAGGTACACTTACCGTGTACTACCTATTTCTTTGAGCGAGTACGTTTCCAAACTTTGTATATAGCCTTCGGCCTCTCCAGGGAAAAGTACAGAAGCTGAGGAATCCATCATTACGAACAAGATTTCAGCAGCCTCAAGTAATACGTATACGTATACGAGAGCGATCGCCATGGTTACAGACAACAAGCGCATGCGCAAACGCGTCGACTCCGATACCGCCCTGCAGCAAACAGCCGCAGGTGTAAATGCCCGTTAAATTCTGAAAGCCTCAATATAATAACTATACCCATTAAGGAGGCTTCGGGAACATTAGTATGATCTCACACCACCAGGGATGTCAACTAGATTCCGACCCTAGCGCTGAGTGTGGAGTTTACATGTTTATCTTGTGTTTGTGTGGGTTTCCTCCTATTTAGGTTATCCCCTGCCTCATGCTGTAATTCTGGAATACGCTTTTGACCAGACACTGGATAAGCAGTTATGCAAAGTGGACAGCAAATTGTTTTATTTACAGCTTTAATTCATTTCATACATTACAAAACATAAAATTGCAGGCAAATAAACATTTTTTTCCCCACTATATTCACAGCAAGATATTAATAATTAATAATCCCTCAATTCCAGTTCAGCATTACTGGAGTCATTTCCAGCAGACAATGATATTGGGGTCATTCTCCAGTCGTTCATCCAGTTCTCTGTAGCTCATTCCTGTGGAGGTACCAACACAGCAGTTCATTTCCATAGATTCCCACTTCAAAAAAACGTACGCGTCAAACGAAACACAATCCATGCCAAAACTTTGCCGAGAGCTTTGTGTCAATTACATAGTAAGTATTTCTTATAGCCCAACACACTTGATCTCATGATAGGCACCTGTTTTGCAGCAGATCTCATCATAGCTGTGGCTGCCAGTATAGAGGCGTGGAGGTCGACTTCGCTCATCACGAACCACTTTGACTGGGTACTTCTGCAGCCTACGAATCAGACCCTTCATCAGTCCGAACTGGATCAGCTTCCTAGAGAAACAATTCCATTTTACGCAATTCACACCATTTGATAGAAATTACATTATATTACATACGATGCAGGTACACTTAACATTATTTGTTGGGCAGATGTCCATGTTTTGCATCATTTTGTGTCCTCTTTGGTTAAACTATGGTGTGGTCACTTGATTAATGATACGACATCTAAGAGTTCATAATATTTCTTGAATACACAAAGATAAAGGCGAACACATTTAAGGCTGCTATATAAAGGCAGCACAAACAGACCTCTCATCGACTCTCTGGAGCTGCTGTGAATACCGGGAGCAGAGATCACGCACTGTGGTGCCTGGGCTTAAACCACAATACAACTGGAATACATCCCTGAGACTGGCCCGCTTCTGCCCTGAAAAGCACATCCAGTAACAAAAGCATGTGTTTTATCCTGAAAGACGATCAAAGACATATCACTCAAACTCAGTTTGCTCCCCAAGTTACCAGGTTTGGTGACGTAGGCAAGACACTTCTCCTGAATGGATTTGTCATCTATGAGATTCTGTACTTTGGGAGTGGTGCAGTACACATTGGAATACTGCAAAGAAAACATTATGAAAGAAAGAGCCACATTACAAATCCAGAGCATGCAAAACCCTCAAAGCCTTCTTACCTGAAATATTGAAACCAATGTTACAACCCCATAATACCTGTTAAAAGAAACATTCTCCATGAATTCAAAAAGGTAATCTGAACCTAATGATTAAACAACATATTTTTTCAAACTCGTAATAAATAAATAAATAATCGTACAGTAAATTTTGCACAGCAATCCGGACAAGGTTCAATTCCACATCAGCTTCCGCAGAAATCTTTTGGATGTGTCTGAAACCATCAATATAGGGTAATATCTGCAATTCAAAAAGGAAAAATGGTAAAACACTACAAAGATCACCTAATGATCCTGCTAATTGGTGAAAACTGCACCAATTAGCAGAAAAATTTCAGTGGTGTGGCCAGGGTGAGACCAGAGGTAATTTTGGGGTGGCACAGAAATCTGAATATGCATATAAGGTATCTAGAAGATAAGGGAATATTTAAGGTACCTAAACACTATAACTATACACTGTTTATAATTCAGGCAGTGGTTATTATCAAATTACCAAATACACATTTAATACATCAATTTCTTGCAGTTAAGGTAACAAGCTTACACTAAGTAGAAAATTCCCAAACTTCTGCATTACTCCTGCTCTGAGAGCACCTATTTAGCTCAGCAGCACAATCAGTTCATTCTTTATCAATAAATCATCAGGGATACAGAGAAACATTTACGAAATAAAATGATTTTTTTTTAGTCAAAGTCTGATTTCATCAAAATGCACATGTGATGGGGGCGGCCAATGTGGTGTCCAGGTCTCAGGCTAAGTTGGCCACAGCCATCCCTTGCCACCCCCAGATCCGCGTATGCTTCGTCATGAACAATATTTTGCGGAGTAGTGCACTGTTGCACTAGCAAATAAAATACCTGTTGTGTGGTTAGATCCCACTGTGACTTAATAAACTGGTCCTTGCACTCAGTGAAGACTGGCACATCATACTCTTGCACTATCATAGGATCCTTTCGTAGCTCTATGAGTTTCAGGTGAATGGTGTTGGACTCGTCTACAACAGGATCACAAATAAAAATCAGAATAAATCAATGAACAGTAAAACATAGAAGTATTTTTGTTCTCTGTTCACATCACATAAAGAGACTAATGTTAATATGAATTAACTAATACTACTGGATAATGTATTCTCTCACACACAGGTATACAGACATACCTATTGGTAAGGTACAAGCTCCTTTGGCATTGAGTTCCTCCAGCAGCGTCGACATAATGGGCACAAGTTTCTGTTTGCTCTCCTCATTGGAGATGAAACCACTTTCCAGCTGCATAAAAATGGGATTCAAATTTTTGGACATACTGATGATATGGTTAACAAATAACATTTCACAATCGATCAGAATGCCATAACATTACACTGAAAATCTCCTTGCCTTATAGCAAACATACATGACCAGACATGAACAAGAAATCCAATCAGGTGTGTATGACCCAAATCTCCACTATATTGGCTCTTCTACATTGATTATTCATTCTATTCTTCACTTGACCAACTGAAGGTCCTTTAAACTGATCTGTTTAAGCCATATAAAATATAACTGAAGTCTGGTATACCTCCAATGTAGTGAGATATCCAGACAACTTTTTCACAATTGGTTCCAAGGCACAGGTTTTTGCCTGCGCATCACACACAAAGCCCAAATTGAAGAGCAGAGCATTGCGACTGTACTTCTTATGCTCGATGCACACCGGGCAACCAATCAGCTTCTTTTCCATTGCTGTGCTGTTAGATAAGGATGAAAATCAAGCTTGACTTTGTGAAAAACATACAAGTTTACCTGCATGTTACGTGACTGTATTATAAGCACTAGATAAATCAAATTAATAAAATGTCATAAAATATGCATAAATGTACTGTACTCACACTGTAATTAGCTTGTTTTGTAGGTCAGGCTTTGTAATGATGTAAACTTGCACAGTGTCAAATAATTCTCTTGAAATATATTCTTCAGGAACCTACACAAAATATGCCATTAATAAACAAAGTATTTCATAGCCATTCATACTTCAAAATTAAGAGAGTTCAAAACAGTTTACGGAAATATACTAACAAAATTAATTATGCAAACAGCTGTCTAGTTTCCTGTATATATCGCATAAGGTTTACCTGGTAGGTAATCTTTGGCCCCAAAGTAGGGTGAAACTCACTGAAAAATATGCACTCTATTCTACAATTATTCTCCATAATTTTCCTGTAATAGAACCTCTCGGCACAACAGTAACTTTTTAAAATTCAGAATTATTCAGCTTTTTAAGATTTAGAACTTTGGATCGAAGCAATCGTAACCATTCAAAAATAATCATCCGTTTAAACACCAAATCCGACATTAAAATATAAACTGTTGGCTATTTATTTGCTGTGGCTGTTTGCATAGCGCATGACAGCTGTAGTCAAATTTCTCCGTTATATTCAGTTTCAAGATTAATCCCGCTAATGCGTTAAAGATTAAAAACTCTCGTGTAGTATCATCTCAACATAAGCACTTCGAACCATAAAATAATACGAAATAGTTCCACATAACAAGTCTGAACCAAACGCCATACTGAAAAGCTCTATTTAGATTATTAAAAGGCGGGACTTCAGAATATCTGGATCCGTCACTAAAGAACGTGACAGTAAGCGAGACATTAAGACATGTTTGGTTGTACAGTTCCAGGTATACTGTTTCAGAAGTAAGCTTAGGATAAATAATAATATATAAAATCACAAACGTCTGCAGACAAACACACAGACTATCCAATATGTCATTACGAATTAAATTTGCCCCGGAAGTGTTTCTTATCTTTTCTTGGCGTTTGATTGGTGCTGTCCTTGATCACGTGAGATATTTAACTGTTACGTGTAATTCCCCGCTCTCTGGTGGGCGGGGTGTATTTTGAATGTTCAGATTGGTGTAGCGGCTGCTATCTACACATAAAAGGAAATGGAGGCGTGATTATGCGCTTTTATCTTCGTATACCTTTGAGTTGCTATATAAATAAAGCTAAATAAAAAGTAGGATCTATGTCGCTAAATAACTTATTTGAAATAAGTTTCGTAACAGATTCGTCATTTACAATTTCCAGTTCTGTTTATGTCTATTTGCATTCATAATTTTGTTTTCCACTTTTTACTGCATTTCAGCATCTACAGTCGATTCCCTTTAAGATTTACCCATAACACATTAGAGCACCTCCCCGTGGAGAAAAAGTATTAATTTTGTACGGACAAAGGCCGTTAACCGTCGTCGCCAGCAGTTTTCGCTACTTCTCTTTGACTTTCGACAACATTATCGCAAGTTGCCCGGAAATAAGCTCCTGAAAACAGACATTATGGTGCCCGCCAAAGAATGGGAGAGCACCTTTTATGGCTACGTGAGACTGGCTTGTGGCGTCCTGGTCCATGTCGCGTGTACAGTGTTTACAGTGTGCATTGCGGTTTTGGCCAGACCCGGTGCCAGTAAGTATGTCTTTGTATTGGATTTTAACGTACGATGCGGTTTAAAAGTATTTAACAGTAACACTCTTTTGTTGCTTTTGTACTGCAATTGAAATAATACGATGACTATGACTGTAAAATGACAAATTTCAGCTTAACTTTGAATGTTTTAACCTTCCTATCGGGTAAACAGTATAGAAATTGAACCAATTTTTATACAGAATTCCCCTGTTGCAGAAACGAACATAAGCTAAAATGTAGGCATCATATTTAATATTTACCAAACGCTTGGTGAGACTCTGCCCTGCCTACTGTTTTTGAAACTGTCTTTAGACTGTGCACTGGATTACGCTTGGGTTGACGCCTAGGATGCATGGAAGGAACATGCATGCAGAAGTGTTGTCCTGTGAATTTTGAGGTGTTCAGTTTGAGCAGACAAGATGCTTCTGAACGCATATCTGATATACCTAAAGCCCTGTGACATGACAGTCCACCAAGGATCCACTGTGCATCAGTATCACATCAGCTGACCGTAATCATGGTCTCCTTATGGCTGGACACAAGGAATGCCAAAAGGACATAGCTTGTGGCCATTAATTTCTACAATCGGGGGCAGAATTGTCTTCCCTAGTAGAGCTTAAAGCCAGTGCTGTGGTGGGTAGAGAGAAGAAAAAGAATAAGCAAGTGTCTTATGCTCTTCCTGCCAGTAAACCTAGACACTGTGGAGGATGGCTGCCCTGAGGGGACTGCCGCCTTCTGAAGAACCCATCTGTACTGTTAGAGCCACATCATCCTGTTTGGGGGAAGCAGCGCTTCTCCTTGAATTCATGACCAAAACCGTTTTGTCACCACAACCTCTATAAATGTACTTATTTTCTGTTTATGTTGGGACAAAACAACAACAATCTCCAACTTCAAATGTTGTACTTATAATCTTCTCTTTTGGCTAGTTCCTTTATGCTTGAGGAAATGAAGAAATGAAAAACACTGGCAATAGAAATAACCAGTCATTGATTTGGGAGACTATGTATAAAAAGGGCTACAATACAAATACAACTGGAGACACCTTCACATTAAAGCAGAAACTTTATAGTCATAGTCACTGTCCCATTTCAAAAACAATCTGCAAGAGTACAAAGCCAATACAAAAAAAATGTTACTGTCCAAATAATTTTGGAGTTCACTGCATATCCATACTATTGTATTTCAAGAAATCAAACTAATCATCACCTTTTCCTAGGTGTGTTTTCATGGCATCCATTTTTGATGTCACTGGCTGTAAGTATAATAAATGTGTAAAGTATTTTATTTAGAGCACTGTGTTGTCCTTTTGTGTTTGAAACTTATTTTTTTCCCTGTCAGTTCTCATTCTTCATGACGGAGGCTGTGCTTCTCTTCTCCCCTGACTGCTCACTGGTTGGGAAGCTACCGCACAAAACGAAAGGCTGCTACCACTGGATCCTGCAAACACTTGCAGCCATCTGTGCAGTTCTGGGGTTATCTGCCATTTTCTATAACAAGCAGTTGAATAGCAAGTCACATTTTTCCACCTGGCATGGCCTGCTTGGCTTGGTTGCAGTGTGTTATGCAGTGATTCAGTCAGTGGGTGGTATCTCTTTGATGTACCATAAGCTGATAAAGGGACTGCCTTTAGCTAAGCTGAAGCGCTACCATGCCGCTTCGGGTCTGGTGCTTTACCTGCTAGGGAGTAGCAGCCTTCTGCTGGGCATGTGCTCCCTTTGGTTCACTGCGTCAGTGCGCAGCTCAGTTTGGTACTTTTTGGCCTTTTGTCCCATCCTTAGCAGTCTGGTCATCATGAGCCAGGTGACTAACTCCTACATAGGTAAGAAACAATTCCAGCCTTAAAGTATCCAGCAGTTTCATATTTTAAGTATTATTACTGTAATTTATATCAATAATGATTCCAGTAACCCTTTCGGAGTGATGTTGTTTTCCATTTAAAACAATTGGCTTAATCAATTCAAAGTGACATAAAAGAAATACCATTCATGGCAAATAATAATGTTCTCCTACAGAATGACACAAAATGATACTTGTTTTTATATTTCTATCACATGCTGTATGTATAACACAGAGTGATGTCTGTATAATGTCTGTGTTATGGATATACTTATTTAACAAATCTTGAAGATTTTATTTTTGCATTTCTAAATTTAACTGTAGTTGTAAGAGTGAAAAAGCAAGAATGTTTGATAGAGAAATTCTATTCTCACATTCTGAAAAATCAAATTATTATTAAATATCTGAAATATGAAGAATGACTTCATATGAAAAAGGGGACTTAATATTGGCTTACAGTTTATGAATTGTATTTTAATTTCCATGGATTGACTTGTTTTGAATATTTTTATATGTAATATGAACAAGATTGTATGAATAAAACATTTGTGTATAATTTTCTAAAATGTTATATGTAATTTATAATACTTCTCTTTATGTCTAAGAATACCTCATGACATTGCTTTGATATTTCTAAACTTAAAAATAAACTTTTTTCATTCCATATGGCCTACATTGTATATGATGCCATTAAGTAAATGAAAATGGAGTATGTTTCAGAAACTAAGATCTAAAGAACAGCACAGTGACTAGTGCATGGTGGAGACATGCAAAGTGTTTCAGGAGTACAGAAGCTACTTCCTGTCACAGAATGCTGCACATTCTGTGGTTGAACATGTCAGCTTCCTGCCAGTTTTTACGAGATACAGCAGAATGATTGCTATGCAAGTTTCTCAGATTGAAACTGAAATGTTCTTAAGGACATCTTTCTATTGCATCGTTTACTTCTGTGCTATTATTCTGGTCAAGCTACAGGCCACTGACATACAACAGAATGAAAATTATATTGCTGTGTCTTTTAGGATTATTATATAAACCTTTTGTTTAATAACTGAGTATTTCACCGTTCAGTTTATGAAACCTTTATAGATAAAATCCAAACTTTGATGAATACATGGGAATTGGTATGTAAACAGTGAAATCCAGGTCAGTAGAAAAACAGGATTTTATTCTATGCTCTTAATAGATGATGCTCTCCAAAAGCTGACTAAAATTGACAGGCAGAAGTTACAAGTTTTGAGTTACAAGTTTTGTGTTACACTGACACCTGGTGGTTTTTCAGTGGTATTGCTCTGAATGTGCAAGCCCAAGTAAAAACACAATAACTGCACCAATTACGGGTTAAAACACCAAAGTTGTCATGCTTCTAGGTAGACACCCTATAGCTTTCCAAGGTATTTGAATACTGATAAACAACATATGGTGCCCACATAACTATGCACTCCCCAGAATGGTCATTCTGAGCTTCAGAATTACATCACATATTACATTAAATGACATGTTTTTAGAATCACTTTTTGCAATCCTGTACTCTTAGAAAAATATTAGAAATCATACATTAATAACTTTAATTTTGTGAAAGAAGAAATTTGTCAGCATTTTGTATTGTGACCAAAGACTGGACAAGACAGGCCAATACAATGACAAGGTTCTTTATTCCATTTAAAGAAAGAAAAAGAAACCTATTCCAAATGTAGTGTCTGGCTTTGGGTACTGCAGCCGTTTCACAATCAGTGAGAATACAATTAAAGAAGGAACACAGCTCCCTTCTCTGTTTAGCTGTGGAATATTTACAAACAAAAAGCAAGATTTCCTCAACCTACGTGTTTAGATGGGACACTGTACATTACCATTCTACGACCTGTAGGGAACACACGAGTGAGGAGAAGAGCTCTTAGCAGTAGGGAATCCAAAAGAGGCATGGAAAGCACGCTATGGAGAACCTGAAATCTGGCGTTCCAGAAACAGACACTGCATGAAACTCCTGTGCTTTAGTTACTGAAACTACTGAGTGCAGGTTGGCACAGGTATCCTAACCACTAAAACACATCTGGAACAGAATGGACACAAGTCCAGCTACGATTTTCATATCAAACCCCTTTTAGAATCTATTCTGCAAAAGAAATTAAAATCAAAGTGAGGCAGTAGTGGGTGCACTCCATTCCTAGAACTACAAATAAAGTAGGATCTATTTGAGTAAGCACTCCGGGGAGAAAGTGATCCACCGAAAGAAGAGAAAAAAAACATTAGCCAGGGTGGCACAAAATTATCAGCAACACAATTAAATCATACATTTCACAACTTTGCAGATTTATTGAAATAGAAATTAAATTCAAAAAGTAATTTAACAAAACAAGATGTGGTACATGAGGGATGATATCACGTATTTATAAAGTAATTTCTTTGTGGAAGGGGGAGGGAAAGTCTTATGAGACACTATCATGCCCACTCATCAGCACAAAAAAAAAGGATGTACACACCAAACACCGCGGGGCTTCTGGACAGTTTACCTAAGCAGAGAGAAAACGCAGAATATGGACTTCGGCAAAGGAATTCTTGAGTGAGTCTAGCCATTGGACTATGAGCAACTTGAATGTGAGACACCAACTCTGCCATCAGCGTCTGAAGAGGAACTGAGAAGCTTGCCACTAACCACTCTACTCATTTGCTTAAAACAACAAAAGTCCAAAAATCCAAATCCTCCTGGAATCCCTACAGCCGCAAAAAAAAAAGAAGGGGGGGGGGGGGGGGGGGGTCAATGTTTTCTACGTTGTCCTTAAGTCAATTAATTGTCGTAACAAAAATCTGTGCTGGGGACCATCTTCCCTCGTAGCAGCCATGGTCAGCATGAATGTGTGACGATGAGCGAGCCTGTGAGTGCATGTGAGCCTGTGAGCTTTCTGCCATCCAGCCTTGGTGTGCTGGGTCCCGTAAGTTTATGTTTCTGTTGCTTTTGGGATGTAATGTTGGCCGCAACACCATGTATCCATGGTGACCCTTAGGATTTCCCAGGGGCATCTTCAAAGCTGATGATGCTCGATTCCTGTCCCTTTGGACTCGGGGAGGAACTGGCACCCCTAGGCTGTGAAGTGTCCCTCTCTGTCTGAAGAGCAGCATCTGCTCGAACCACAATCTCCTCCTCTTCCTCTTCATCTTCCATGTTGGGCCAGGCTGACTGGTCCTCGACCCTCTTCAGACGCTCATTCAAGGCCTTCAGGGCCAACTGCCTGTGAATCAGTAGAGAGATGGCATTTAAAATAAACTACAAATCTACTGATTTTCTCAATATGGCACAGTGGTTAAGCTTAATCCCTGGTAAGATAGAAGTTAACAAGAACATGCTTTTCCTGATCCATGAGTCCATACAGTGTTATTTTGATCTGTTCAATTATCATACGAGAGATCATCATAATCACCCCTAGCATTGTCACCCTATTACTTACAAATTTATAAATATTATTAATGCATATAATATAATAATATGTGAAATGATTTGGGTACAGAACACTTTTTCATATCTCTAATTTTACCCAATAAAGGGAACAAAGCAAATATTGTGCTACACCACAGTACATAATTCTATTTTGAGGTCATTTCTACATGCTAATGAATAATTAAAATCTGCATATGCTGTCAATATACAATATAAAATCCCTTAAGGCAGATCCCACATTAATCTACAATGGACAAGGATAAATATGGACTGCACAATTCAGCACAAGGATAATGTCTTATCTGAGACTGAATGAATGACATGCATCTTTTTACAAGGCACGTTTTACCTCATCTGTACGACCTAATCTGCATCCTCATGCTATCAATGTATTTATTTATTTGGGGGAGACTACTGTGTATCATGCCGCTGCACAAAAAAAATCTCACCAAAGGAAATCAATAAAGCTTAATCTCATCGTATGTGTTGTATAACTATTTTATCATTTATGTTTAGGGATCATAAATGCAAACCCAGTGAAACACACTGTCATTGTGTAAGACCACTGCAGTACTTGATAGGTTCTATGGAGGGAGGTCTACCTTCTCCTTTCTGCATCCTGGGGGTCAGTCCCTGGCAGACTGATGGTGATAGAGGAGGGAGCTCCAACGTCGTAGCGCTTAACCATCTTGCGGCAAACTTTGATCTTGACCAAGATGCTATGCACCAGGCCAGCCAGCAGACCCACCACCGGCTGCAAAATCTCCGGGAAGAAGGACGCAAAGGCAAAGTGGTCGGACATGTCTCCCCGTCCTCTGCTGTGTTTCTGGTAGAAGCGCAGGTAGACCCAGCCTGAAAGCAGGCCATAGCCATAGGCTGCAAGGGGGGCCGTGGTCTCTAGCAACGTCGTAAGGCGCAACACGACAAGCAACAGCAGAACCAGCATGGGGGCCACCTTGAGCCTCACTTGGGGGACACGGAGCACCGTCAAGTCCCCCATGGTCTGTTTGAGAGCCACCAGAACTCCACCAAGGAAGCCCAGCATCCCATGGACCTGGACTGCAAACAGGTAGTCCAGATTAAAGCTCGCAACGTAGGTGAGCAGGTAGGAGAAACCTGACAGGAGCCCCACGGCAACATTCACCACAGCGAAAAAGATCAGCAGCTCCAAAGCTCCCCACAAGGGCTCAAGAAGCCGGCCGGCAGCGATCACGGTGCCAACGCTGACCACAACATCCCACAGGTGCTGCTCCACAACCGCATGGGTCACTAGAGTCCAGATCCAGAAATTAGGGGGGAAAAGGTATCCGGGAGTCACCCCCAAAACGTATACAGTGTCCACCGCCCAGGATAGTAGGTATAGTAATATGACCGTGGCACAGATAGACTTCACCACCACGCTGGTGCTGGCAAATGCGGCAAAAAAATGTTGTCTGGCCACTGGTAGGTATCGGTTCATGTTTGATATCTGGATTTCCCGAGTACAATATATAACCGTCTCCCGACCGTTCCTGTCGTGTCAAGGGCCTCAGATTAAATAGCCGAGAAATGAAAACAAAGGATCCGATAATAAACGAAAAGCAAAGTCCAAGGTTAAAGGAATTCAAAGTAACAGACGTTACTAGTAAAGTACCAGTTACTTGCTTACCGGACGACGTGGAATCAAAGATCAAGTTCTACCTGAAAAAAACCTGAAGAAAACTAAAGTTAAAAGTTAAGTGCGATCATTTAATGTAGGCGAGAGTGACGATGCTTAATGGAGGCCAGCTGTACTGTCTCTCTACACATCGTCTCTGCTCTTATCGAATGGTTACCGAACTGTGATCAATGAAAACTAGTATGATACGGAACAATCTTACATGATCACTCGGTGCTCATTCTTTTACTTGCGACATATTACTGTATGTTGACAGGTAGCTAAGTTAGGTAGCTAGACATAGCTATCGACTGTTGGACTAAACGACTCTTGTCCCGATTTGTCGACTCGACATTTATGTTGAACTTGTATTTGGAAGAGGTTAAGGGACGGTCCAAATTTCCCAGATCGTCTAAGAACCTGGTTACACACCGGTCAGTCATCAAGCCGGAGTTCGCAGACTCGCTACGCTGCTACATATACATGTCAAAAAGGTAAACTTTGGTCTTTTACCAAGAACATATATGTCATAACAATACTTACATTTACTTATCTAGGTAACCAGGTTAATCTTTAAAACGACCGGGAACAAAACCAGTTGTTCTAGCTATCTCCACGCATGCGAATGATTAAAGTGTGTTTTAAAGCCAGCCGTTGTTTCTAAAACGACGCGACTAACCTTGCCGTCTATCAGCTGTTTAGCTAAGCGGCCACTCGCAATCACAGCCTTAAGGACTATCCACTTCTTCTCGGCCCAGTCATCGTCCACTGCTGCCTGGGTCGGGGATTTTCACTTCGCAACAGGCCGAAAAATGTAAATACTCCTCTGACAGGCCGTTCTTTCTTGAACAAATAAATGACAACGAGATTATTTAGGTTTCCGACCGTTCTTTGGTAACTTTATTCCGACTTTCTCCGTCGGATTATTCGTATTTCATGCATTTCTCGATGCAATATAAACTCCGAGGCACTCCCAACATTACGCTGCCGTACGCTGGCGCTGTCGACGTCACCGACGCGTTCTTTGTGCCCGAGAAGTCAGCACCGTGGGTTCATGGGAAGTGGAGTCTACTTAAGATAAAACTGTGTCGCGTTATTTTTTTCGGTGTTTATATTCCGAAAATGTGAATAATACAGAAAGACACTATGGTAACACTTTACTTGACGGGGCAAAATATTTAGTAATAACTCAGTTACTACTGAAGTACAAGTCAGAAACAAATCCTGAACAAATATATTTGCTACTTCAGATGAAAGATGCATCACAATTCATTAATGCTGAACAAACAAGAGATTGTGTTATTCATTACTTGTTCCTTCAGTAGTTACCTCAATAGTTCACAAAGGTTTACAGAATTAATAGATATAGTAACAAATATAGTAACTGCTTGGGATGAAAGATGCATAGTGATTCATTAATAATGAATTAACAAATATAAGATCAGTGGGCCTATTTAATTTATGTTATGCATAACTTGTTCCTTAAGTAGTTCCTAAAGTAGTTCACAATGGTTTACAGAACTAACAATATAGCAACAAGTATAGTAACTGCTTCGATAAAACATGTGTGTTCATTAATGATGGTTTAACATGAGATCCGTAACTATAAGGCTTAATTTGTGGTTAACTATACAGAAGTAATAGCATAAAACTAGGTTATATTATCTGTGGCCCATCAATTAAGTAAAGTGTTACCGACGTACGCTACTAAGCGAATGTGAATAAATGCTGCATAAATGAGCTCAGGTACAGAAATACGGTAAATTTATAAATGTCGATAGCGATATGCTAATGATCGGTATCATATGTTTTCTGAATAACTGGCAATATTTGGTTATTGTTTTTCAAATAAGAATTTAGAGGTTGTGCTGAATTTATGCAGATTTATTTTTATACAGAATTGTATTACAGTTAATGTTTCATTGCATATCCGTTCCGTATATACCTTCATCATTTCTGGACAGTGTTCATTCCTAATCAAGTAAGTATAGCCTAACCATGCAAATAAATCCCTTTTTAGCTTTTTAGTGAACGTCATGAAGTTCCCATAGTTTATTTTGGGTGAAATAAAATATGACACAAGCACGTCGTTCAAGAACTAGGCCTATATGTTATATAAACTTATTTAATTATTTCATGGAAGCATGTCAATTAAAAATACTATGAATATAGTGTGTACAGCCCCCCGCCCACAATATTTGCAGAACCCTTCCCATTCTTTCCCATAAAATAACGAATAAATGCGTGTTGCTTATAGGACTAACGAAGACTGTAGTCCAGTATCAGACAAAATAATTTTATCATACGGATCAATTATGCAGCCTAAACGGTGCTAGTCTTATTATACATGATGAAATGTTTATTGGTTTAAACAAATTTTTAAATCTTTCTTGCATCGCTATTCCTATATAACCATCGCCCATATATACAAACATACACGGGTTTGAGGAGTTAGCTAACTACAATTACTGACACTAATAACTTAATTACTTTAAGTAGAATCTTATTTGTACTGCACCTACAGCTTATTAGTAGTACAGCTACGGCTGCTACGCTGTAGCCTTTCCAGTAATTATTTGATTTTACAAAGCGATGTAGCATTTCAAAACGCTACATCGTTGAAAATTACTACAGGTCGTCCACAACTTATGAGCTATGCGACTTAGGACTGATCCACTTTACGACGGTTCCGACGGTTCCGAGACTTAGAAATACTGTGGTACCTCGGTTCTCGAACTCACTAGAACTCGAATTTGATAAGTCGAACAAACCAGTTTGACCTAGAACTCGATCTGAATATCAGATGTCGAACCGTGAACGCTGACCTAATATAAATTGTACGCGTCATACTACAATGCAATTCTTACTTGAATGCCTTCTTCACAGACTGGACGTTTAACTAAATAAAGCAGCGTAACATTACAGTAACTAACAATAAATAAACCACTAACTTACGTGTACTATTAGAGCATTTATGTCATTTATTTAAACTTTACTTTAGCAGGTAAATTAAATGAATACCAGTTCTCACTGCTTTACGTGATATTCGGGAGAAATAGCAGGTTACGCTTCGGAACAGCCTGGGAAGGCTGGGATACAAACGTCATGCGTGTAACTAAACTCTTCAGTCAATAAGGGAAAAGGTGTATCATCACGGAGGCGGTTCCAGTTTGTGCAGCCGGGTGAGAGGTCGCAATGCATCTAAAATAATACAGAGGACTAATGACAACAACCAGAAACAGCTTATCACATGGGGATCCCACACGAGGTTAACGAGGGAGCGTGGCACACGGAAGGAGCAGACGATCGGGGCAGGACAGGGGTAATGTTTGGATAAGATCTTTATCGTTTTGGAAGCCATTAAGAAAAAAATGCTCTTCTTGTTTTATCCTGTTCATTTTGTGTTTAAATACTAAAAAAAACATATTTAGGTGCAATTTTGGGGGGCCTGGAACCAATTAATTGGTTTTCCATTATTTCTTATGGGAAAAATTCGATCAGAACTCGAACTCTTTAGAATTCGATCCGAAGTCCGGTATGGATTAAGTTCGAGAACCGAGGTACCACTGTATGTGGTCCGGCTACACTGTTTGCATTCGTATCCGTTTGGCTACGTTCACACTGCCATGCTGAAGTGACTCAAATCGGATTTTTTGCCTTAATATGTGACACAGATCTGATCTTTTCAGGGCTGTGTGGACACGCAAATCAGATTTGTGTCACCTTAATATGTGGTACTAAATCTCATACGTATCCGATTCGCGGCCATGCGACCTGAATGTGAACGCTCAGATCGGAATTCATGTGGCTTTTTGCTTATAGCCTACGTATGCGCTGACATCAGCCTGCACCGGCAGCGCAGGAAGGTAAAAATGGAGGAGAGCTGCGAATTCTTCGATAACAGTCAGTGGAAGGATGTAGAAGTTGGGGATTTAATTGATATTTGGGGAAATTAATCCGTTCAAGCTAAACTGGAACCTATCGTAATAGAGTAGTATTTGAAATAATTGCCAAATAAATGGCACAGCGCGGACACGAACATGGCTACAATGCCAAAGAAAAATAAAGAGCCTGAAGTCAAAGTTTAAGGAGGCAAAAGACTCGAATCGGGTTCATGGCTGCACAACGTGCCAATTTTAAGACCAGCTTTTTACCCGTGTAAAAACGTATTAATGTGTGCATGCGTGACGTTTCGGAGGACCGATGCGTTCATATTACAGTCAGATACCGGTCACTTGTACTTATTAATGTGAAGCGTCAAGATAGACAAATCCGATCTGAGCAAAAAATCGGAATTGAACGATGTGGCTGGCAGTGTCAACGTAGCCTTTGTGTAACAATAATCAAGAAGGTTGTAATAAAAAGGTTAAAAAAACACCAAACGATATAACTTTAAGATGATATACGGTATACTGTATATACATATAAGTTTCGCATATAAAATAAGATTGCGGTCATAAGTCAATTTTTGTTTTATAATGTCCTGATTAATATTTCAATAACGACCTGTAGGCCTATTATTTTTCAAAGTCGGGTATTTTCAGCTACCAGGTGTTTGTGATTGGAGTTTTTTTTCTTAAATACTCTGGGGATGGATGAAAAATACAGACGCTCCTCTACTTGCGAACGAGATACGTTCCGAACGGCTGTTCGTAACTCGAAATGTTCGTAAGTCGTTATTCAACATCATTTTAAGGGTATACACCAGAGGTCACTAACAGGCGGACCGCGGGCCGGGTCCGGATCCAGAAGCTGTCCCATACGGACCCGGACCGATAGCCAAAACATTGTTAGTATTTAAAACCTGACGGGACGCTTCTATTTTCTCCGGCGCAGCGTTTGTAGTATTTTCGGTAGTGGTTTAGCAGTAGAGCCGCCGTTTCCCACGCCAATGAACGTCAAGCGTATGCAGCCCTTTGTCTGCGCTAATGTGCCGTTAGTGTTAGTAGTAGCATCGAAGATAAAATCCACAACCAAAAAGCCGTAATGTTCCTAACAGAGAGACTGGTCTGGCCTGAAATCATAAAGCTGAACAGTTTTCAAATACAGTATGTATTATATAACATATTGGATAAATAGACGTAGTTTATTGTTGATTTCATGTTCGTTGAAGTTTCTGCTTTTTAACATATGTATAAAGTAATGTTATCTGTTATATAAATAAACTCGGGTGAGTACAAAAAATGTACATTTTCATGGCTGCCAAATCTCAAGCATCTGCACTACAGCCAGCTGCCCAAAGTTCTTTGTCACGTGACAATAAATATTGTCAAAACGTTTTTCAATTGTACTGAATTAATTTGGTTTGACAGTCAGGTACTGATTACATGCAATGTTAGTACAGCTAATAGGCTACTTAAATATAGATCACACTAAATAGTTAGACATTATAATCTTCCGGACCTTTGCTTCAAGAAGTTTTCTCTAACTGGACCTCTTTAAATTTTAGTTGAATACCCCTGGTATACACAAATACAAAGAACTACGCTGCTGCACGGCGGGAGTAATAGCGGCCAGAAGTCGTACTAGGCAGAATTAGCGCACAGAAAAATAAACTGATGTTGCGGACAGGAAACGGGAGCCCAATGAACACAATTTGTACTTACAGTCCTCGTTCGTATGTCTGAAAGTTCGTAAGTTGAAAGTTCTTAAGTAGAGGAGCGTCTGTATTTCACGGCAAACAATATTTTAGACACGTTCAGTAAAATTCATAGGAGCACTTTGGTTCTTGGACAGATTACCAATTTTTTTGTTGTTGTTGTAACCCTTCTAATTTTCACACAGCAATTGTGAAGTACTCTTGAATTACACCAAAGAAACTGATTGTGCTTGTGGTGTAGCCAACTACACTAAAACGGTAGCTTGGCTGTAGCATACCTACTTTTAATGAAGTAGCTTGTAGCCCGAATAGATACCATTTAAAAGTAGCTTCCCCAGCACTGTACACACACACAGATTGAATCTTATATATAAATGAACATTTTGTCAAATCGAAAATTATAATTATTTCATTGGCCAAATCAGCATAAAACACATGGTAGCGCATGAAATTTGATGTGACTATCAATGCTAAAAATACAGCAAATGCATGTTGCATCGGACAACCCCACAACTTTTAATTGCATACACAGTCTTTATTTTTCCATGAATAGCCAAATTAAAAAAATTCACACAAAATTGACATTACATTTTTTTTCCTGTAAAAAAAGTTAAACAGCAGAAGTGCTACTCGAAATAACAAGAACAGAGCAAAAATAAATGCGATCAACATTTATTTCCATTATTAAACAATAAAAAATAATCCTCGGAAACCACTAAAGGAGCATGCCCAAGCATTTCAGCAGACTGGGAAGACCAGCAGTATGACTATAAGCACAGTCGATCAGTTGTCCTCCTTTCTAGTACAAGCTACCTCATCGTGTTGGGCATGCTCTCTCACATGCCGTATGCAGCTCACGTAAGCAGCGATCTCACCATGTCATTTACTCATTTACTGCACATGGCAATGAACAGAGGACAATTAGCAGTTTTACTCAAACCAAAGGAGGTGTGCAGGGACCTAGATGGCCATACAGATAATAGGCCTTGAACATCTTAAAGCCATGTACGTACAGGCAACATTTCCATAAGGCAGCTCCCCAGTCTGCCACAAGCATCTGTAAAGACGACATTAAGAACAGTTTACTAGGTTATCCTATTGGAACACCAAATTTCTTCATGGTACTGTGCTTGCTGCCCATCAGTGTGGATTCATATCTGCAAATGTTTGTCACAGACCACAGTTATTCAGGCAATCCATGGAGTGGGGATAGAGTGGTTCCCAAATTTTTCATAAATTTTGCCTGTACCTATTGCCTTCAGAAGCTACACATTCATACACAGAGTTGTGTAACCAAAAAATAAAATATATATATATATATATATATCTATAATCAATGTGGAACTTCAGTGCTCTTTAGCACCACTGGAGATGTTTCTGGTCTCAGCATACCTCCCCTTTTGGTTAATGTTTTACAATACAGATCACACGGCAAAACACAGCAACACAGATCAAAATCAAAGGAGGCTCCCCCCAACGTTCTTTGGAGTAGATACACAGTATTGGAAAACTGACATCGAATAACCTGTTGAACACATATACAAATGTTGGATCCATCCTCAGATTCACGTTTTTTTTCAGTGTGGTAAGTTACAAAAAAAAGCACTTTTCTTGAAATATAATTGAAAATAACCTTTGCATAGCTAATGGTTTAAATCTAAGGCTTCTAGAAGAAGAAATTATCTGATTAATGATGTGGTAAAGGAGGGGAATCATACAGCTAAAAAAACAAATTGAGTTCACAGGAAATGGAGAAAAAACCTTAATCCACTTTGTCTTTAAAGTAAATCGCAACATTTATGAGTCTACAATGACTGTAAATGCAGGCAAACCAAAGTTGTTAAACCTTACGTTTGTATGTAGACACATACAAATTCCATTTTAGGTAGATTTAGCAACAAATCACATCCGCTTTATGTATATTTCACTCTGGATAAAATCTCAAATTATAAACATCACATGACATTTTTCACAATTGTTACATTTGGGGACTTAGAAAATGGCAAAACTACACGATGGTTAATTTGAAGAGATAAAATGAATGGTTCTGAATAATTATGTAAGTTCACATTTCACATCAACCAAAAGGAAACTATTTTCTGAACCACAGGAAAACATCAAGTTTGTGTTTTAAGAACTTCAATTGTGGTGAGGGGAGGTCAACTGTATCTTTGGCAAATGCCAGCATGAACTTGGTGAAAGGCGTCACCAGACTCCACATGATAAACAAATGGACTCCAGGCAAATAAAATGCACTTAAAGATCATTCCAAATACCTCTTGTTCCTTTTAGAAAAGACAAAAATGAGAAAGAAAATGAATTGTGCAGAATGAGTGTCATAGAGGACAACACTGGGGTAAAATTTCTGATGCGACAGTGAAGTCTTTTTAAACAACTTGCAAAAACTCACAGGATTTTTTTTTTTTTGTGACAGTTTAGGTCAACAAGTGGACTGACATGACTGAGTTACTAATCAGCTGTCACCATAAAGTCGCTACATGAATTTACCCATTTACTTCAGGGTATTGTATAAATGTAGGCACATTGTTCTGTAGACCACTAAATGTGCCATGGCATGGACAATATGTGATTTACAGTTTGCATCATTCAAAAGTTGCTGTTCAAGAGCTCTTACAAAGACAAGATATGCTGGTCTCTAATCAATGAATTGAGAAATCCATTTAGGGTGCAGGAGAGGGGGTGCAGGACTTAGTTTCAGTCAAACTTCTCTTCAGAAGTCAGCATTTGGGGATAAAGTCCAAAGATGCAATTTGGGTTGATTCTATGCTCGAAATATAAACATCTGGTTGAATTTACTTGAATGAACCAGTATTTCACTATTTTTAAAACTGAAAATTTAAAACCCTGGGGTCTGAAATTTGTCATTTACAATAAACAGAAACTGCTTAATCCTTGCCAAAGTCAAATTTGAAGACAACAGCAGCAAGTCCCAAAAATTAAACTAAGGCTAAGATGTTTTAAAGTAAATGAGCTTGGAATGTCATTCAAAATATTTTTATTTTATTAACAAACGTAAAAAAAATACAGAACTGGAAAACGTTATGTCGTTTGATACATATCAACTGATTGTGTTTATACAGACTTAGATGCTATTTCAGTTCCTTGTTCAGCATTACTGCATACAGCAGAATGCTCATAAAGGGAGAGGGGAAAAAAGCATGTTGGTCCCTACCTGCAATGGACTGATGGCTAATGTATTCTCAACAAAAACTGTGACCAAGATCTCAAAAGGTTCCTTTTAACAAGCAAGCTACCTGCTACTCCACGATCTATGAGAAGCTGAGTAAACAGCAGAATACCATGTCATTTATTCTGGCCGGCAGTAGCCTGTGGTGAACATACTGCTTGTGCTCATCGGTCCCAGGCTGCACGCACACTTTGGTCAGTTGTCCATTTCGCGAAATACAAAAATAAAATACACAATAATAAATATAAACCAACATAAATAAATTAATTAGGAAAAAAATTATACAATGGGAAAAAAATGTAAACTAACATTTTAAGGATGATATAAAAGAATAGAAAAGGTAACTAGTTTAAGAAAATATTGTTAAAAAAATGAATATAGTCTGGAGAAAGAAGAAGCACAACTTAGATTCATTTGACCTGCCAACAGCATCGTTTCTGACTTTGAGTAGCTGGAACGTGAAACGCCGTATTTTTGGGCCAGAGCAGTGCGAACACAGTGGGGTGGTTCCCAGATACATGCCATCTTTCCAAAGGCTTAAAATGCCACATGCCTCTTTCCACCTGAATTAATACACAGACTGTAATTAAGAAAAAAATAATAATAATAAAAGGAAGCATAATTATCACCAAATGTATCTGAAAGTAGTATGTAAACAGCCTAGATTTTCTATACACACCCAAAACACAATTACAATCATACACACACACAAGCGCACACACACACGCACGCACGCACGCACGCAGAAAACAGCTACCCACATATGACTCTGCATCCTGCTCAACATAAAGCCAGAACCCTTCCATAAAGATGTCTCCAGCAAAGCAGTAGTGTGAAGCTGAGATGAGCAAATCCAGAAGTTAAAACCAAGGGTGACCTGCAGGCTTTCGGTGCTCCACTTTATAGGACCCTAAGGGGGAGGGGGGGGGGGGAGAGACTGCAGTAGCCTTATTTATTAAATAGCCTTTCTGTTCACTTTTATGTCTTACATGGAAATGAAAAATAACGATGGTGTTATAGCTGGTAGTGTAAAAAAAAAAAAAAAAAAAGGTATATTCAGACTTCGTATATCTGCATATATTTGGTGTCGAGATGTATAGTGGATTGTTGCAAGTTCACACTCCTCCGTATAAAAGCTCAGAAGATGCTAACTTCCTTTCCAGCTCTCAGAAGATGGCAGCGGTCAGTGTTTGGCACGTGCTCTATTTCAAACTTTCCTCGGACACATTCTGTTCTCCCGGTTTGGTGTACTTACGCACACGGGTTGGGGTGTGAGAAGGGTGCTTGGTCACTCCACCCGTCATTCCAGAGCAACGGGGAAAGGCCAGGCTGTTTTTTAAAATCATAATTTTATTTTTAAACATAAAGTCTTGAAGACAAAAGTGGTGTGTGAAGCAAAAACCACTGGCACAATTTGGGGCCAGCTTCCAGGATGGATGCAGTGATTACTGTGAGATAGCACATCTGCTGAAGGACAACAGGCTAGAGTCTGGTTTGGAGCGGCTGTCTATGATGTCTGAGTCTGACTGTTGACATTCCGTGAGAAAGCAGCAAGGCGACTGGACTCACTGTCCCTCGGGACATGTGGACTGTACCTGCTATACTGTTTGCTGGTCTCTGCAGCCCCCCTTCCTCACGATTAAAAGAAAAATGCTTAAATGGCCTCAACAAAACCAACACCTGCTTGTCAATCCTGTGGCAACAGGTTGTCATTAAAGGCTGAAATGAAAATACATTCTTTGAGCTTTTAAGGTTTTACTGTTTTCTCATAGAAATTCTGTTGCAACAAACCAGGAGTACAGGTCCCCCCCCCCCCAAACCCCAGGAGTTTGAGTTCGTTTCACCCCAATCATTTTCCCATCATTTCCAAACATGACCCCTCCCCCCTTCCCCAACTTGCCTGCATTTCCAAGGACTAACCAGAACAGTTTTATAACCCTTTGGGCAATTTTATGATCATGACCACCATTTATAAAATTATTAATAATATTAGCAATAATAATTAGGATCAAAACAATCAGATCACTGATATTTTTTTCCGTCCCAACAGGTGTACTACTTCCTAGACCTATCAAACTAGCAAATAAACTAGTCTAATCACCTGTTTTAATAAAGAAAACATTTCAAGACAACAACTACGCTGACCTGCCAGACACTTCTGAACAGACAGCACCCCCCGGAGGTACGTGGGAGTCACTGCAGGTTAGAGCCCAGTGCCCAGTGTGCGACAGCAGCCGGCGACCCCTCATCCCTTCCCAATTCTCTCATGCTCAGCTTCTTCTCATTTACCTTTAACGTTCAGTAATTTCAGCATAAGGATTTGTTTTATTGTCCAGTTTCTGTATCAGGTCCCGATCTTCTCTCTCTGTCCCTCTCGTGAGAAGAGTGTGGGGCAGGGCAGACGGCGTGGGTGTGTGTAGAGGAATCTTTAAGCCTCCTCCTCCATTACTCATCTTCTACCTCTACCCCAGCGCCCACCTCCCCCCCCAGCCCAGAAAGCGGAGAGGAGCTCATTGTTCCATCACCTCGATCACGTCATCGTCAGAGCTGCTGCCTCCGTTTTCTGAGACCGTGTGCACGTCCGGCTGCCTCAGTGCTGCTCCCAGGAGGCTAGGGGTAGGAAAATGTGAGAGGAAGCTGGACCCTGTAGTACCTGAGGAGGCAGAGAGTCCCCCGCCTGGGAGCAGCGGGTTCGCGTACATTCTGGCCTCAGGCATCAGTGACTGGCCATAGGCCAGGGGGAATCCGGGTGGGAGTATTCCGGCCATACTGGGGTTGAGCATAAAGTGGGGCAGGGAGGCCGACGTGGACCCAGCAGCAGTGGAGGACGCCATGGAGGTGGTGGACACCGGGGATGCCGCCGAGGATGAGCTGGGCAGGCTGCTGCTGCCCACGCTGAAAGGGTCAGAGGTCATGGGAAACATAAGGCGCGGGTCGCCCAACTGGCCATGCGACTGGAAGTAGGGTGGGCTGGCTCCCATGAACATGGTGTGGCCCATGGAGCCCAACAACGCCGGGTTGAGACCCAGGGACGGAAGGCCGTAGTTGCCGGTGAGCGGGAAGCCCTGTAGCGCCAGGGACCCGGAGGTCCGTTTGCCGGAGGCCGGCTTGCCATGGGTGCGCTCGTCAGAGGGTGGCGTGGGGGCCTTGCGCTTGGCGCCCCGCAGGTCCAGCGCCGTGGTAGCGTTTGCCCCTGGCTGTGAGCCCGTCACATCGGCCTGGGCGCTGCCTGTCTCGCTGGTGCTCTCCGGCGTCGCCGCCATCACCGACCCTGCCGGCTTACTGCCTCCACAGTCTTCAGCGGCCCTGACGCTGTATCTCTGCAGCTCACTGAGGATCTCGGGGCTGCTGGGAGACACGGGCCGCACCAAGCTGTCCGGGCTCAAGTGCTTATGGTCGAGGGAGACGCAGCCGTTACTGCCGTTGCTGGGTGGCTCCTCGGATGACCTCTGAGCATCTGTGTGGAAGCAGGATAAGCAGGAAATAAGATAAAACCAGGCAGGGGTGCTTCCTATGTCAGCCAGGGGAAAGGACAGCAAGTCTAAAGGGGTCTGAACAGGCCCATCGCACCTCGCTGTGTGGCTGCGCTCTCATCTCCTGATCTCGCCTTCCCTGCTGCACGAATGGCAAAGATCCTCCCATCGCCTGTTCGGATGTAGGTCCCTAAGGGGGTTGGATTGAGGACGACAACAAACAAACAATATTCTTTCAGCTAAACTCGCTCACCAATCTCCTGTATGCCAGGAATAGAGTCCAATTAATCACAAGGATGACACAACGGGGACTGGGGTCACGTGAGTGTTGCAGACTGTATGTGGGAGCCGGGTGAGTGGATGTGGGTTAGATGAACTGAACGCGAGGCAGTTACCTTTGGTGCCTCTGATCACGTGAATGCTCTCTCCGGCACTGATGCGTGCCTGGACATCCGAGCTGCTGTTGCTTCCTGGAATCACAATGTCTGAGGAACAAAACAAAACAGGCCCCAGCTGACAAGCTGAAACACTCCCTCTCTACACGTCATGCTATAGCCAGGTGGCGAAGCCAAACCTGTGGTGGTGACGATCTTCTGTACAAAAACACCAGCCTTCTGGAGGTAGTTGACAGGAAAGTGGACACCTGAACTAGGGCCAGCCAATGAGGACCCTGAGCTCAGGGACACCTGCCGAGGCATCATGGGAATAGGAGTGGACTGGACTGGGCGGACACTAGCTACTGGCTTCTCGTCTGACCGCGGTGGAGGCCGCCTTTGTAAGAAAAGGACAAAATGATGGCATAATGATAAAATCTGTCAGGGTTAAAAAGAAAAAAAAATACACAGCCTATTTACATTTCAAAGTAGTACATCTAAGTCTGCAGCTGAAAAAAGTCATTAGTAACGTGCAGCAGTGAGTATCAAACTCCCGTGAGCATGTCCAAGAGGAGCAGCGAGTATCAAACTCCCGTGAGCATGTCCAAGAGGAGCAGTGAGTATCATACTCCCGTGAGCATGTCCAAAAGGAGCAGTGAGTATCATACTCCCGTGAGCATGTCCAAAAGGAGCAGTGAGTATCAGACTCCCATGAGCATGTCCAAGAGGAGCAGTGAGTATCATACACCCGTGAGCATGTCCAAAAGGAGCAGTGAGTGAGTATCAAATTCCCGTGTATATGTCAGAGGGGAGCAGTGATCATCACAGACTGCCCTGAGTGTGTCAGAGAGGAGTAGTGAGATGGCTCAAGCATGTCTGAGAGTAGCAGTGAGTATCAGACTCCCATGAGCGTGTTTTTGAGAAGAGTACTGAGAATCAGACTGTCATGAGCGTGTTTGAGAGGCATAGAAAGTATAAGATTCCATGAGTGTCTGCAGGGCAGAGACTCCAGTGAGTCTGTTTTTGAGAGGAGCAGAGAGCATTAGACTTCTGTGTGTCTTTGAGAGGAGCAGTATGAATCACAGACTGCTATGAGTGTGTTTGAGAGGAGCAGAGAGTATAAGATTCCATGAGCATGTCTGTAAGTAACAGAGAGCAGACTCTTGAATGTATTTTTGAGAGTAGCAGTGAGTATCATAATGCCCTAAGCATACATGAGAGGAGCGAGCAGAGAGTATTAGACTCCCATGAGTATGCCTGAGAGGAACATTAAGAATCACAGACTGCTATGAGTGTGTTTGAGAACAGCAGTGAGTATCAGACTGCTGCAAGTGTGTGTCAGAGGAAAGTGAGCAGGGCACAGGAAGGCTTTTTGGTGCCCTACCAGTTGCGTTGGCTGAAGGCGGGGATGTTGGTGAGGCTCTGGTCGCTGGCTGGGTAGTAGTGCGCGTACGAGGGCCTTGTGTAGGGCACAGAGGCACGCTTCTCGTCCTCATAGCCCTTCTTAGCGGCCTTCTTCTCCGCTTTGGTGAGCTTCATTTCCTTGCGGTCCATCAGGAGCGAATCGTGGTGGAAGGGTTGCTGATAGGAGACATCAGTGACATGATGCATGTTTGTTTGCACCCTCTCTGCAGGGAAACTCAGGAATGACTCATTAGTGGGAGTGTGTACCTTGGTGATGAGATGGGGGTAGAGGAAGCAGGCCTGCTGGATGACCGTCTCCAGGTCTCCTGTGGTGTCTAGGTGAACCCGGTGAGGATCAGGCTCTTCCTCCACAAAGTGCAGCAAGGACTCCACCTCCCGGCGAGTGAAATTCAGCACCGGGTTCAGATCATCAACCACTCGGTCTGGGACAGCAGGGAGCAGAGGGGCATGACATCACCACAGGCACATGGGCACGACAGCTAAGAAAACCACTTTAAATTAGGTGCATGGCACTGGGCTTGTCAATATCGAAGACACCTTTACAGCCTGCACATCTCAAACATAAACAGAAGCATTTCAGGTTGAATATATCGCGGGTAAATGCAAATTTCAATGTCTAGGCCTGGATGCCATCCATCCATCCATTTTCTGAAACCACTTGTCCTATTCAGGGTCACGTGGGGTCTGGAGCCTATGGGTGCAAGGCAGGGAACAACCCAGGCTGGGGTGCAAACCCATCGCAGAGCACAGTCACACACCATTCACTCACACAAGCACACCTATTTGCAATTTGGGAACTCCAATTAACCTCAGCGTGTTTTTGGACTGTGGGAGGAAATCGGAGTACCCAGGGGAAACTCCACGACGACATGGGGAGAAGATGCAAACTGCACACACATGGAGCCACGGTGACGAGTCCACCGTGCCACACTCCTCCTCCTTTCCATCTCCCCGTCACACCTGTGCAGCCACACCTCTTACCGGACATGCCCTGCTTGGAAATCTGCCGGTCATAGATTTTCTTCTCCAAGGTGTAGTCACACACCAGGCGGTAAATGTAACAGGGCTTCCTCTGGCCATATCGGTACACCCTGCAGACGGCCTGTGCGTCGTGGCACGGGTTCCATGAGGCGTCGAACACCACCACCCGGCTGGCCCCGATCAGGTTCACGCCAAGGCAGCCTGCCCTGCAGGCCACACAGGACACTGGCTTAAGCATAAAGCAGTTCATTCATTCATTTCATACACTTATAATTTCTCAGTATATTTACCAAAGACATCACTAATTGTTCACCCCACAAAGTGACCACCCCTGTCATCATCTGTTTACTCTCTTACCTTCTGGGAGGCGCTACAGAGCACCTCTAGATCTAAGAACAGTTTTTTCCAAGGGCCATAACTGGATAAATCTAAACACTGCCCCCCCCCCTACACTGTGTTACATTCAGCTGCAGTAAATATGCAATAATGGGACAATATTACTTTTAAATTCAAGCTTGGCATAGAAGAAAATTTCATTGGACTTCGGTTGTCTGTCTGTCTGTCGGGTCTGTCTCACCAATGGAGACCCCACATTAGTCATTAAAATATACTTTGGGGATCCAACATCACCCCCAAAGATGTCAGTTTCCCAGGGGGTTCAAAATTTCTAACTACACCCCTGAATCAAGCATCACGCACATTTTCCATGAGTATTGAGTCTACTACCTTCTGGCCACAAACAAACTTCCTGGTGTTGCCAGAGACAGAGACACACACACACACACACACACACACACACACACACACACTTCTGAATCTCACTGCATGAGTACCTGTCAAAACAGTAGCTATGCAGCCATGCGGGATGGTTTTGGGGAGGGGAGGGGGCCATACTGACCTGGTGGAGAGCAAGAACAGCCAAGCTGCATCATTCGTGGGGTCGTTGAACTGATTGATGAGACGCTCTCTCTCAGATGCCGACGTGCTCCCATCCAGCCCTGCAGGGACCAACCACGCACCGCAAGCTCAACTGAATGCACCTGCATCACTCGAGGCGCAGTCTGAATGATACTCCACCACGGCCCTCCAAAGCCTCACATTATCCATCACGTTACCCACTCGTCCAGCAGACACCCTTGCTGTGATTAACACCTCGTCCTATTACACAGATAAGCAATTACCATATAATTTCTGCTCAAGAACTTGGAAGCCCTGAATTACTAACAATAGGTACTCTAGCGTGCGCGCACACACACACACACACACACACACACACACACACATATATATACAGCTGGCAGCTTTAAAACTGCCATCCAACAAATAAAATGAGAATGCATGAAGGATAGCTATAACGGAATGAAGAAAATGAAGTGAAAAATGTCCAGCAGGTGGCAGTATAGGTATAGGCTCTCTATAGCCATGCAAGGAAGAGAGTCAGAATGGAGGAGCGCTGCTGGCGAACGGCGGACGGGAATAGAGGAACAGCTTATTCGAGATAGTCAATAGGGAAGGAGTGACACTCACTATAGTAGTTGACGTTGCGAACCCAGTTCTGGCTCTGGCCCTCTGCATTAGCTTTGCCTAGAGGCATCGGCCTTTTGACCAGGAACTCCTCGATTACGGACAGCGTAGACAAGCTCTGACTGATGATGCCAGAGGCGTGCAAGTTCAGTGAGCATCCGAGGTTGAAATGGCACATCCACATACACGAGATAAGGGACAACAATGAGAGAACACTAACATTCAAAAGGGCTCTAACAAATACCCGGACAGCTGGAAGAGGTGAGACATAATCTGAAGTCAACAGGAAGCCTATGAGAGCTGCTGGCTGCCACTGGCATTTACAGTGAAGAGTGACATCACTTCTGGCACATGGCTCTTTATTTTAATCTAAGTGGTGAGTAGTGAGCTATTTAAATGTATTTGGGCTTGTAATTGAAGCATTTCTCAAGACCACATGTTCTGAGTCAAAAGTCCCACAAATTTACATTCTGGTTTCCCACCTGAAGACCAGAACTTTGTCCCTCTGGCTGACGCTCTTGTCGATCAGGTGAAATAGCAGCACCATCTTTGCAGAGTTCTCCAGAACCCCGGTTTGGTAGTTGGCCATGATATCCTTTGCCTGACAAAGAGCAGGACAGGCGTAACGGTATCACCCCACGCACCTTCTGCTCTCGGTGTGAAGCAGCAGACAGAGGGCCGAGCACCATACCCATTCGTACGTGATGACTTGGTTGGCTTTCTCGTGCAGGATGCCGATCCCAGGCACGCCAAACCTGCTGTTAGCCGAGTCCGCCGGCTTCCCTTTCAGGCCGGGCGCAGGGCACCGGTTACTGTTGAGGTCATCCAGGTCGAGGTCCTGCTCACTGGCCAGGTTCTCCTTCTGCAGGGCTTCATACAGAACATCTGGGTGGTTCCAGATCTGTAAATACAGTGAGGCAATACTGACTCATATACAGTTACTCACAAAAGTAATCCATTACAGACAGACTACAAATTCAGACTACAAATTCAGATCAAGGTCTTAATTCAACCAACTAGTTGAGTATAAAAAGTGACAGTCACAGAGTACTCATCTACGTTCTTGAAACAAAATCTCTGAATTTGTACTTTCTGCACCGGAACTTTCCACCTGTCTGTCTAACGGATTACTTTTGCCTGTACTGGCATACTTTTGTGGGTAACTTCCCCAACACCGCTCATAAATGCGCATGGAAAAATTGAAAGAGTGAATTCTGCAGAACCTTAAGCAGCCCCCCCCCCCCAGGTCCCCTCAGCCTCTTTGCCGATCATATCATCCGCCAAGCGCTTCCAACAGAAAAGGCCAATCGGCCCTCCTGGCAGCCTCACCTTGCAGCAGACACAGAAAGCCTTGAGCGGGTTGAGGCTCAGCCAACCGCTGTTCCCGGCCTCCCGGAAGCGGTTCATGAACTCGGTGTACAGAGCCCGCTGGATGGGCGACAGGCGCACCAGAACCACATGCTCTTGCTTGGAGGGGAGCTGGCACCTCAGCACATCGTGCCCTCGCCTGGGACAAGTACAGACAGGTGAGCGACCGGGGCCCCGTTTCCATGGCAACAGGGCACGTGACCAGGCAAGCCCCCCGCACACACCAAATCATGACCAAAATTACCAATAACAGCCAAATATCTAAACCAAATCATAACAATGCCATGAAGCGAAAATAAATCAAATTCAGAAACTGAAACAAACTGCAAAATATGGCCTAAAAAGTTAATTGCACAACTTCCAAAATGTGTCTGCAGTCGGCGGCATGCTTGTCTTCTGTGTTGAACAGATGCGCTGTGCCCATCCCCCCACCCACCCCCACCCGCTTACCGCTGCACAAAGCCCTCCAGCAGGCTGTGCAGCACGTGGCTGCGGTAACGCATGAGGCGCACGTCCTGTGGCGTGCTGTCCATGCACTGCCCGTTGAGGATGGGTCGCTCGAACATGTTGCTGAACTCCTGCCGCGTGCCCAGGAAGTCAGGCCGCACAAAGTCCACCATGCACCAGTACTCGATGAGGTTGTTCTGCAGCGGGTAGCCGGTTAGCACCACACGTCGCCGCGACCGGATGCTCTTCAGCGCCTGAGACGTGCTGGCGTGGCAGTTCTTGATACGGTGGCCCTCGTCACATATCACCACGTCCGGGCCCGGCCGCGACAGGGCTTTCTCCACGCCTGAAGGGGGCGGGAAACATTAGGGAAGCAAGGTCCCCTCCTTTGAGACCTCGCCTTCAACATTCCCCTGGATGACGCAGGGGGCTCAGCCTACACGCCATATAATCTATGCAATAGTAATGTACCAAGCTCCACCAGGTACTGATTTGGTGTTGCGAATTAAGTACATAGGGCCTGTACTAGCTGGGACACTCTGCAGCCCCCCCATGACCCAGGACTGGATACATGGCTGGAAGATGGATGTAGCCTTTAAACATACAGCAGCCTGCCATAAACATTATTTCATGAGGAACATGGGCTGTTCATGAATCACGAGCCCATCTCACATGGCCGACAGAGTGGCGGATTGCCTGTCAAGGGGGGTTTCTCAATACCAACAAGTATGATCTTTGCATCTTTTATCTTGGCAAGATTGGTCAAGCTAACTTGCCTCCCAAGAACAAACCTGGGGGCCAATGAATCATGGGATTGGTCTCATTTGGTGGGGATGCAACCAATTTATCCTTGATATTTGAGGCGGGACAAGAACGGCTTTCTGGGATTTTTACCGTCCTCCGTCCGAGTTCTGTTCTTGAGTACTGGAACTGGTCTTTGGCAATGGAAGATGACGCAAAACAGGTACCCGAGAACACAAGTACAGTCAAGTACACATGCTGAGAAACACCCAAGGGCCCAGAGTGTCACTCGGACCTTTCAGCAGCTCCTGCTGCCGGTCTTCTTCGTCCAGATCAATGATGACCGGTGCCGCCGGCTTCTTGGACTTCTTCTTACGTCCGGTGGCGAAGCTCTTCTTCAGTGACAGCAGGCGGTACATCTCGTACCCCATGAGGAGCACACCACCCTCCACTGACCAATCGCCTATCACCTTGGCACGAGCGGTCATGGTCCTGGGGCAAAAGCAGACCACATGCAAGTCAGCGCCGCAGAGCTGGGCCTATACACACGGCACCCCAAACCTCGCCCCCCTACACCTGAATCATTACTACTTATCTATTGCATCACTTTTATAAGACTTAAGTACAATAATATCAAAGATGGAAAGTTCAGGTCCATAAAGTACTAATCTAGACCAAGATTTTGTGTCAACCAACCAGATACCTACTTTGTGACTGTGACTCTTGATAATCAACTGGTTGGTTGAAACAAAACTTTGGTCTGGATTTGTACTTTATGGACATGAACTTTCCACCTCTGAATGATACTACATCACTTGGCAGACAAAACCAAATGGTGCTGGTTACCAGCATAACCAGAATAATGCACGCTGGTTATGGCAGCATTTTTTGCCTTTTACTGCCGGTGGACCAGCGTCATTAAGAAATATTGCTGGTGGACCAGCTTCACGTGCAGGTACACCAGCATAGCTATGCTGCTCCACCAGCTACACCAGCACCAACCATGCTCGCCTACACTGGTTTTTTTTCTCAGCACCTGTTCATTTGGGTTGAACAAGACAAAATCATCAAAATGGACAATAGAGTTCCAATGCTGCAAAATGAAGTCATAAGCAGAAGATGTGGGGCACATACTTATGCTCATCGTTAAGGATGTGCACTCTGAAGGTCCGAGGCAACACGTTGGCGGGGCTGGTCTCTGGGATCAGGGCTTCAGGGGAAGGCAGCCACATGTTGAATTCCGCGAGCCAGTTCTGTAGCGTGTTCACCTGGGGCGCCAGAAGGGAGGCTCAGCGGGGCAGCACGAGGAACACTCACCGGGACAATAGCCAGCACAGTGTGAGCTCCGGTGTGGCGAAGCAGGATGTCGACGAAGGAGATGACCTGCAGAGTTTTGCCCAGGCCCATGCTGTGGGCCAGGATGCAGCCAAAGCCGCTGCTGGTCCTGTACCTCTCCAGCGATTCCACCAGGTTATCGTAGAGGAAGCGGATCCCGCCGATCTAGGAGGGGAGGAAATAGGGAGGGTTCATACAGGCTCATCCGTGTTGAGCCTTTGTGCGGCGCTACAGGTTAGAAATCTGTCCATTTCCGGAAGGTTAACAGTTTGAACGGCATAGCTGGCAGAGAAAAGCAGGTTTACTTACCACGCACATTTTGGTCAAAGGCCATGCAAAGTGCTTTACATATGAAGTCAGGCATAAGAATGTCAAACAAGTTTAAATAAAACAAGAGAATAAATGTATAAAAGTAAATTGTGTCACCATTGTGCCTTTAACTGCAAAAAGGGGCAGCAGGGAAACAGCTGTGCTTGTGCTCTGACCCAAACCCTTGTTATTGCCTGTATTTGTGTGTCTGTATGTTTGAGAGGCAGTGAGATGGCAAGTGTAAAAAATATCAAAAGTATCTCAGATGGTAACTATCACTGTCCAATAAATAAAGATGCAACAACTTTTCTGGAGCCCCAGCTCAAGCGATGCAAAAGAAAATGCGTAACCAAAATGAATGTAGAGTCTTGAATGTAGAGTCTGAATGTAGAGTCTGAAACAGAGGTATGCAGTTATGATAAATCAGAGAAGGTCTTTGAACCTGGTGGGGCTTGACCACCCTGGCGATCTGTGGAGCCAGGTAGAGGTCCCTCTCGTTGGAGGGGTGGTTGATGTTGACCAGGACTCGGCCATCTGCGTCGGGCTGGTTGAGTGCGTCGTTGACATGGGCCCCGCTGCTCTCCTCGGTGCCCGGTGTCCCCGCCCTGTCTTCCTCCCCGTTGGTACCATCACTGATCTGCGGGGTGTCATCCTCTCCGGAGCTCAGCTCGATCACATCTGATATTTAGATATTCATAATCTGCTCGGTTCCACCAGAGATGGGCACAGGAATACCCCAAACACAGACTCAGCTCAAGTAACGAAACCAGGTCAAATCAAATTTAATCTTCACACATACAATAGCCCTTAAATTAGTGTTTAGCAGATCTGCAGCAGTACTCAGTTTAGCAGCTAGTGTGTATATTTGCAGGCTCTCAGACTTGGTGGGCGCGTGTTTAAGTGTCAGCTACCTGACAGTCACATAAGACACGCCAACATTTAATGATCAACCACAAGAGAGAACACTTATGCAACTCATTTGAATGGCTAGTTACACAAGCAGGGATTACAGTCTGGGGACCACTTACATAACCCAGGATAAAAATGCCTGCAGGTTACAACTTGTTGGTAATCAGGATTAAATGACACTTGTTCTAATGGCCCAGTTTAAATGCTTCTGTCTCTACACCCAGTTATTCCCATGTCTTAGGAAGGACTTCTCTATTAGGGAGAAACTGGTGGGATTCATTTGGCACTTTTGTAAATTTTGATTTGGCCAACAGGAAATGCACTGGAGCTCAGTGTAGTTCAGTGGGACAGGGAAGATCCTCAGCTTGGATGCTAAGATCAGCAGAGTAAATACTAGGAATCCCTTAAGCTCAACTGCTGCATGCTGGCTGACCCCAAAGTTCCTATAGACACATGCATGCAAAAAGTCTGCGGAAAACAAAATAGTCCTAGATAACTGTGCTAGGGGTGTAAAGATGCACTTTAAGCACTTTGACACAATGTGAAAATGCACTGTATAAATAAAACTGAATATAATGTTATGTACAGTACTGTATTACAGTGTATTTGAATTACACATAGTTCAGTAATTTAATTTGTTCAATACTGTAATTTGAGAAGCGTTTGAAACAGCTATACTATATTTTGAAATCATCAATAAAATTAAGTTAATAGTGATGCTGTCCATTCTATTATCTTATATTCCTATAATATATATACAAATGTCAATTAGATGGTAATGTGCTTGAGACAAAGAAAAAATGTCAAAATCAGTTATAATGATCATCCGCTTAAATGATCAGTTTCACCCAGACAGACATGATCACTATAAGCAGTTACCACTGTAGTCCTGCTTCCTGGTTGTGCGCTGTTGCGTTTGGATAAACGCACAAAGTAGCTGAATTGGCATGTGAATTTCCAAAATGTAGAATGGCGGATGAAGGTTTATTAATATTCACAAAGGAAGCACTACCTAATGGATCCTTGCACTATAAGGCTTTTAGGAAACTTTCCCATTTCGTAATGCAGAACAATCTCTCTAAAGATCAACATAATCATTGCACTATGTTGCTTTTGGTAAATGTCTGTTTTACTGCACAAAAAAATAGCGTTGGTCAAGACTCTGAGGTAGGTAGGTAGCTAGCTAAGTAAAAAGTAATGATATCTATAAAGATGTACAACAAACTGATTAAACTTCATTAATATTCAAATTTATCAGCATCAGAGCTAAAGACGACTACTGAAATAATAGAAATGATTGCGTTGGATGACCAGCCATTTACTGTAGTGGTGGACAAGGGATTTCGTCAGGTCATTCACCAATTAGAAGTGCTTAGGTTATCAAAATAATCAAATAATGGATTAATACAATCAAACTGTGATAGACATTAGAGATTTCCGATGCATCGAATTGTTCCGTCAATAATCATAATCAAATTGAATCACCTTGGAATCAACAATTTACACAACTAGCCTCTACTCATATGTACAAATGACAAATTAATATTTTCTGTTCAGAAAGATCCCATAATACACCAACACACGTAGCCACATCACTCAGACAGAAAGCCACATCACTCAGACAGAAAGCCACATCACTCAGACAGAAAGCACTCACCATCCTTGGCGGCCTTGATCACCGGACCCCCGGTATCATCCTCGCTGGCGCTGGCACTGCTGTCCAGGCAGATCACCTCCTGCTTAGCGACCGGGGTTGATGATATGCTCTGGGGTACATCTGCCAGCCTCAGAACACCATCCCCTTGAGGAAGAAACAAGAAGAGATGAAGACCAGTGGGTAGCACATAAGGAGGAAAGAGCATAGGCTGACTAATTCCTTGTACATCTACAAGAAAAAACGCAAATCTGCTTAGAGCTATGCACTGATTTGCATTCTTGCTATACCAATGAAGACATATTTTGGTTTCTCAGTGGACTTTAGCACCAGCACCAAACCCTCCTGAAGGAAACTGCCATACTAGGCACAAGCTTTCCATGCTCCATTCTTAGCTCTTGGGGGCCTCATGCTCCTGGCACCTTGGAGACTCACCTTGTGTGAGCTCTGGGAGAGGCACAGGGAAGTCCTTCCTTTGCTGCTCTAGCCTCTTCCGCCTCTCCAACTCCTCCTGCTGGGCAGCTTTGGTTACGGCTTCTAACTGTTGCTCTCGCAAGATCTTGCTGAACAATGGAAAGCAGGGGGGTGGGGGGGTCAAAAAAACATCCCTGAAGGGGAGAATTTTACTGGTGTGTACAATAAATAAAATTAACAAACTGGTCATTATTTGCTTTCAAATAAGAAGGTCGCAAAGACATTAATGAAGCACGATCTAACAGATTACCGAATGTTCCTTCGCATATGAGCAGGCTTAGAGATCCTCTTCTTGGTGCTGCCAAGGGAGACCGAGCTGTGGCTGTCTGGCTGGGAGGAGGGCCGTGATGAGGGCCGCGACGAGGCCTCTCCTGACGGTGAGGTAGATGGTGGGGTGCCCTGCCACCCCAAGGTGTCCCCTCCCTGGGCTTCATTCTCTGTGCTGAAAGAGGTCCCCTGAGGATGCTCTGCATGGGACGGGGGGGGAGAGAGGGAGAAAATGCAGGAATGGCAAGATGCACAATTAAACAGCCATGGAATCATAGACATGGATCAAGATTAACCAGCTCTTCACATGTACATCATACAGCAGGGATTACTTACCAGGACGACATCCAATCCAGAAAAGGGAGGGACCACGAAGTGAAAATGAATAAACACTAAATTAATAACCTAAAATAAACAGGAACAAACCGCCTGTATATAAAGAAGGTACCGGACTGGTATCTAATGACTGACAGCAGGACTATATGCACTAAAAGGAAGAGTTTCCTCCCCACAGGCGCTCAGGACCAGTTGGGGGGGGGTCCAATAGGGACTTCATTGTTCATTGGGCTGAGATCACCAGGCATCCTCTTTACTCTACAGAACACTTATATAACAACTGAAAAGCAACGATACCTACATATGTCAGTTAACGCAGGCAAAATTGTGCCCTGCTTAAGGCAAAAGGTTTGGCTGATTAGCGATAATTGGGGCTGGGACAGCTCTCGCTCTTCTCTTTCTTCCGGAAATAGCTCTCACCATCAGCAGATCATTTTAAGACCTATAATCATATTTATAGCACATGCAGGCTACTCCTTTGATTCGGACAGCAGGAAAAAAGAAAAAAAAAAAAAAACCTCAGTTACCCAAGTTAATGGACTTTCATAAATGCCCATCTGTTCTGTAACACTGAAACATTTCAAGGTGAGAGGCTAAATCCAGCACCTTTATACTTAGTTTCTTGAATCACCAAAGATCACCAGCATAGCCTGTTTAAAAGCTGGACAAAACGATGACTATTATAATTCTATACCAAAAAATCAATACAAAAACATAGCACATAAGAGAAAAAAGAAAGAAAACTGCATTCAAATAAAATGAATATTTTATTTATGCAACATCTCCAAAAATGATCAAAATTTGGACTAAGTATTTAAGATCTGCATAATGACAGGTGAACCACAGATTTAAGTGTCAGATTTGTCACCTAGAGGAACAAGCTGGTGAAAAAGGCCATTAAACACCCTTACTTTAGCCAGCATCAAGGCTTAAATTAACATTAAAAAATGTTCAAAACACTATTTTAAAAAGTGGGTGTTTTTTTTCAAACAAGCAATAGCTTTTCTTCAAACAAGCAAATTATTTAGTGAAGAAAAACTACAGTAAAATTCATTTAAGAGGGATAAGATCAATATTCAGCAAAAAAGAAGAGGGACTGTCCCCATGACTGGACAAACGCATAACCTCAAGCACAGCAAACAGGTCAGCAGCCTAACTTAAAACTGCAAAGGATTTACAAAGTTTGGAGGCTAATAGATATTTAACAGCGTTTCATTTGAATGCGGCCAAAACAAATAACAGACTACACACTGAAGAGGGGCCCAAGATACAAGGTTTTTTTTTTGTAACTTACGGTTCAAGTCGAACATTTTCTTTATACATATGTACAGCCAGGAATGATATATAAAAGATTTATGGCGCCGAGCACTTTAAGGAAACACTTTGTGCATTTTTTCCATTACCAAAATAATCTCTGATGATATCATCCTACAATGTCATACTTGTTAACTATGAAATCTTATCACCATTAACTGACCTAAAACACGGAACATGATGTCACACCAATATTGTCTGTTTAATGCTACTGCAGGGCTTATATATTTTGCGATGAAGGTGAGTATAAACAGAAAGCTCAACGTTTTATTAAAAGAGACAGAGGGATTCATATAAATGCATGAATATGTGACGCTAAGAAATGCGACATCGAGATTGCGGGCCATTTCAAAGACGGCTGGGACACGTTAAGGGAAAGCAGCTGGAAGGTGACAGTAAGCGTTCCACTGGCCTCCGTGTGCCGGGGAGCGGGCGATGGCTGTATTACATAACGCGTCGTTACATAATCAAAGGTTCCATTTCACTTCTTTCTGAGACCCAGGAAACTAAACACCCCAGGAACCTTGGGAGAGAGAGAAAAAAAACAACGCAGGAGGAGAGAGAGATGAATATCCGTTTTCTTCCCTGCTTCCGGGCCGTCTGGCACCGATCCTTGAAACGACTACGGCTTGTGTCCAGTACTGAGAGAAAGCTTGAGAGAGAAGGTAGCAACCATGTGATGCTGCGCTGGTAACCACGGGCGTTACATAACACAGGGATGCACGCATCACAGCGAACACGTAAAAAACGAAGAGGCTGAAACTCCTACTCATCAGCAACTGAAAGTACTTTTTCCCCCCCAAGGGGGGGTTTTTCAATAAAGCAGAAGAGGATAAGAGAATGAAAAGCATAAGAAAGAGGCAAATCAAAAGAAAGCACAGTCTCTAAAAGCAGAATACTCTCAGTGTGCAACGTTGCATAAATTGCAACGATCATGCCAAAGATGATGCTAGACCAACTGGCAAGTTTCAGTTGCTAACCAGTTAGTTTTTATATAAAATGGTCCTTTTTTAATTGAAAAGTGCTTCCAGCTACTTTTTATAACCTTGAAAATGTGCTGTTCGAACGGAGACAAATACTAGCAGCTTTATTTACAAGAAACCTACAGTCCCTCAGACCTATGAAAAGCATAAACATGAATGGAGAGCCCGATCACGCTTTTATTAGAAAGAGACAAATACTCCATACTCCGTCTTCTAGGAACATAAGTTTTACATAAGCTGTGAGCAGCGCCTCTTTCCTAACCTTCTCCTTGGGGGAGCCGTTTTCCAGAAGCCACAGGTTACGTAACCTGGGCATGCTCATTTATATAACAGCACTTCAGAGCTTCAGCGTCATCCCCCGGCTGTGACTGAGTCGCCGTGCTTTCCATTTGCGTAAGCGCTAAGACTATGGAACCTTGTGGGGACCTCGAAGGGCTCCTGAGACGGGTTTGATCACTGTTGCACACAGCTGAAAAGATGCAGCTTTAGTGCTGACTCTGACACTGTAGTGTGATAATACTGTGGTTAACACAGAATTGGTACCAGACCTGGAACACAGTGCTCCCTGGGTCAGACCTACATACTCACTCTATGCTGCTGCCAGAGGGCTTGTGATGATGGACCTACAGGGCTGCAGACAGGAGCGATTTATATACGGTATCGGGCTCTGCTCAGAAGACAGGGCGCAAAAAAAGATACATGACAGCAAATGACTGGACGACAAGAGGAAGTAAAGCAGAGCTGAAACAGGTAGGACTGCTTGCTGAAAGCATTAACGATTGAACTGTGTCTAACAGAAGGTGTGGGGGGGGGGGGGGCAGATTTCACTCGATCACGTAGAGAAGTGGGTGTCGGACTTCAGCTAGAGGCTGCAGTGCAGCCATGGCTGCTCCCCCCCCCCCCCAATGACTCATCGCCCCCAAACTGATGCTCTGACGGCTGTTCCCAGCGGCTGTGCACCGAGCCGACAAAACAGCGGTAACACCGAGCTATGACCCACTTCCAGGTGTCGCCCGGGGGCCCTGCAGACCACAGATGCAGGAAGAAAGGGCTCTGACAATTGGCAGGTCCGTTTCCAATCCCAAGGGGGGTGTCCTGCCCTGTTAACACTTAGGCGGTGTTAAACCGGTTCACAACCAAAGTCACTCACTCTGCATGTCAACCAGTCTTCTCACATGTCCAGATAACATTGTCACTAGTCTATCACAGACGACACATATTTTGGGGAGCTTTCCATCTTGTCATTCCATTGATCTATAACTTTGAGGAAAAATTTAAGTAATTATCACCAGACCAGTTGATGCAATTCCTAGATAATATATATAAAAATCTATAATGATATCACATTAAACCCATATAGGGCAGGGATGATAGACAAGACTATGAAGTGTTTAAGAAGCCCTTCAAGGCAGACCCAACCCCTCCCCATCACCACAGAGAGATGCCTTCTAAATGCTCAAGCCATGTCCTAATTTCTGGCAGAGTGGGCTGAAGAAAGGTACAAGATGTCCTGCTTAAACCGGCTCGCCTTTCATTAACGCCTATGACACTGAGACAGAACCTCAAAACACACACCTAATCTATGCTAGGGGGAGGAGATCTTTCATTTTCACATTCTACTCAATTATTATTCTTCCTTTTGGCATCAGACATAACAGTCTGACATTATTTTTAAAGCTTTGTCAGCCAAACAAAAACATTCACCCATACTCTGTAAAAAAGCAGCTAATGCCTGTACAACAATTTAAACTCCAGTAGCAAGAGAAATGCTCTGAAGTTTGTTACCCTTCAGCATTCAAGATTCAAGACTTTGTCATATGTATCATAAACAGTCAGCTACATTACACAATCACCCTGCGTATTCTTCCAGCCATGAGTAACACGAATTAAACACAAATACAAATTAAGGAGCTTCACCTTCACCCCCGATTCCACTAGATGCCATTTTTAACGGAACTTGCTATATTTATTTTTTTAGCAGGCTACTAGTCCAAAAGGACAGATGCATGACAACAAAAACAAAATGCTGAGGCATGAAACGGCACACTGCTGCCTGGTGACCAGCGAGCGCACGCTCAAGGTCACGTGGGTTCACGGGGGTAAGGGGTGTGGCTTCAGTTTGTCACCCCAAGTTCACTAAATTCTGAAATAAGGTGGATGCAGCAGTGCAAGCAACGAATGCATGAAATCAAGATGTGGAATCCTGATATACATGTATGTATAAACAAAACTAGCAATAAACTGTAGACTGGCACACACACACACACACACACACACACACACACACACACATATATATATATATATATATATATATATATATATATATAATCATTGGACAAAGCCATACAAAAAGTGAGTTTCAAATGTAGTTAAAATGTAAACTGAAAAGCATCACCCTGCACAATGGATTCAGTGCAACCAAGGGGCCGTTTACATAAGAGCCGGCGTGGGGTTATGTAACTTTAGCTCAAAACGTACGGTGCAGTTAGAGAGCACGCTGGTCCACGTGTTCATGCAGACAGCGTTTACATTCAAAGCAGACCAGCCGTTTCCGGTGTCCACTCAAAGTTGGCCCTTCTGTGGGGCTCGTGGGAAAAAAGCTTCCTAAAGTAACTAACGCGTGATGCTAAAACCATCACAAGCAGATCATTACACACAATGAAAAAAAAACCCCAAAGCACAATCTCAAAAAAAGTTTCAAGATTCAGTGTCAAGTTGTAAAAAATACTTGACAGCCCGTTAATATGCTTTTAAGCGCCACTGAAGGGAAAGCGGTCCACAGAGGGCTTCCGCTGGCACGGGGAGAATTCAGTAGGCCAGTGTGTCATCCAGAGACGGGTAAGGGGCACGGCGGGTAAGGGGCACTGCAGGACAAGTCTCGCCGACTCCCAAGGAAACGCCAGCGAGCTGGCTGAACCTCATGTGAGGTCAAAACATAAAACGGGCTCGCCGCCAGACGTGCAGATACCAAAACACCCCTCCCAGCTAAACTTCACACGCTGCCATGGTAACCCTATCTGTCAGGAGGGGCAGAAGGAGAATGCGACCTGGATTTGAGGTCACGCAAAAGGCGCGTGGCTCAGACAGCACCCGGGAAAACTTCTGACAGCTCAATGCTGCAGAAAACCTCAAACACAAAATTTAGATAGACACACAGACTTACAAAAGCCTGAATGATGCTTACCTCAGACAAAGGCAGACTCTCACCATGTCCATGCAAACTTTACTAGTATTACCTAACACTATAAGGAACTGCAATTAACGATTACAGTAAATTTCACTGTAAATTAATTTGGAAAGAAGCAGCAGCAGTCCTCACAAAATAACCACTCCCAGTGAGCACACTGATTATTGCCACCATGTGAGTGGCTTCCACCGGGCCCCCCGCCCCTTCACATGACCCCTACCTGCGAAGGACTCGGAGTCATCCAGGAGCAGCATGGCTCACATTAGCAGGAGGTCCTCCCCAGGGCCGCAGCCTGTCCCCCGTCAGCTAGGGGCAGACACCCGAGCACCTGAGTCAGGCTGCGTGTGTGACAGACTCCTCCGCGCTGCGTCCCGGCTCCGCTCGCTCGCTCGCTCGCTGGCTTCCTCGCTCGCTCGCTGGCTAACAGGGTGAGCGTGTCGCTTGTTGCGCAGGCTTCTCACTGCATTCCCATTCACTGAATCCCTTCCAAGTGCTGATTAAATCAAGCTAGTGGGCAGCACCCAGGAACTAGGCAAAAACTCCTTGCATAACCAGCCACGCTCAGATGGGGCCCTACTGGGGGGGGTTTCCGGAGGCTGTACCTTTGTGTCATGTCCCTTTTACACAACTATGTTATGGGGCACCGAAGAATAAAACATTGCATTTCAAAATAGATGGGCGGGAGAAGTTTAAATTTCATCTGCCATTTCACTGAAGTTACACTGATTATGGTCACCTGACATGTAGATTAGAAGTACCTTTGCTATAATATTCACCATTAATATTCTCTTATTGTTATAATAGCTATCCTATCTTTGCAAATTCACATACAGTAGGTGGACACTAACCATTCCTTAAATAACTTTTCAAATTAAACTGCAAAGCACACTCCCACATGCCTGCTGTTACAGCAGCCTGCCCCCAAGCTATAGCCTATTCTATAACCTCTCAGAAGCCGTCATGTAAGCAAAAAGGTTCAGCTAGGACTGGGGTGTCAAACTCCAGTCTAGGAGGGACGAAACCCTGCACATTTTTGGGTTTCCCCCTCATTTAACACACCTGATTCAACTCCTTTTGATAATTTTGCTAATCATTTGTGGTACAACAAGGAAATAATTAAGCTACACAGGGTTCCGGTCCCCCAGAACAGCAGTTCAATACCCCTGATCTAGGAGATATAAGCACTACAAATCCTGGTCAGCATGTTTTTGTCTCCCCCTCCCATCCCCTCCAAGCCATCACCTTAATGCCTGAAGCAGTTCCTTTATGGCTTGGGGGACACTTATACAGCAAAAACAACAGAAAAAAATCCCTGAAAAGGTGCTGCCAGGACAGCCGTCTGTCGCAGCTGCCCTGCCGCATCCTGTTCCACCAAAGCTCCCCCCATCGGGTCCAGCATCACACACAGTGCCCCCTCCCCCCACTATGTGTGCCATCAGCCAGGCCACTCCCCTTTCAGCAGGGCTTCCTTAGGTAACAGGGGTAAAGGAGTTCATGGACTGACTGGACTGGGCAGTGTCAGTGTGGGGAAGCCTCCAGTGAAAACAGGAATCACAGAGATGGAGTTCCATCCCAAAGCGCACGGCACAGGCATGGGGAGCGGGAAAACCAGCAGGGAAGGACAGCTTCT